TCTTGATTAACCCATTTTTTCTGATCTATGTTAGCCATGTGGCTCAGTACCTTTTTCAGTGAGGCAGATCACATCCTGCTGCTTCGGTGATCTGGGCAAGAGTGGGAGGAATCAACTTCCTCCTTCCCAGAATTCTCCTGTCCTCATTACATCATTTCTATTTCCTGTCTGGTTTTCCCGCCTATACTTCCTGCCTGGCCAATCAGCATTTATTTAAAATATGATTGACAGAATACAGACAATTCTCCCACACCAGGGTGGGGAGAAGGAGGTGTGGCCAGCAACATCTTTGATATAAACCTCACATCCCCGGTAAAAACCATGGTTCTTGGATATCTATTGGCTAGAGATTCATAGACGGCCTGGGGATATCTGTGAGAAGAGAAGGTCAATTGCAGCACTTGGGGTTGGATTCTAACTTTACAAATCGTGCCCTCAATGTGAGCCAAAATGAGCCCACTTATGCCGCTTTTGCCAGCCTTGTCATCATGGTAGCATGGCAGCATGCAGGCAGGTGCTGGAGCAGTAGGTGATTGCTACATTCTGACATGTAAGCAGAGAGAGAAACAGATAGGCAGAGAGACCCAGGCACAGAGAGAGGGAGGCATCTGGGCCTGGCATGGGATTTTGAAACCTCAAATCCCACTCCAGTGGCACACTTCCTCCAACAAGGCCACACCTCCTAATCTTTTTTATTCTTTCAAATAGTGCCTGGAGACTAATTATTCAGTATATGGGACTTTAGGGGCCATGCTTGTTAAAACACCACATTCAGTTCTATAGACTTGTAGCCATGTCATAATGCAAAAGATGCAGTCAGTGCAATTTCAAAAGTCCCCATAATCTGTCACAGTCTCAACACCATTTAAAAGGCCAAAGTCTCTTCTGAGATTCAAGCAATATCTTGACTGTTATCTTCACAAAATCAAAATCAAAAAGCAGATAACCTACTTCCAACATTCAGTGGCACAGAATATATACATTACTATTCCAAAAGGGATCAAAGGGAGCATAGTGGGGAAATACTCAACCAAAGCAAAACCAAAACCCATAAGATGATGTACAAATTGTGCATCTCTGTGTCTGATGTCAAGGTGTTCTTCAGGTCTCTAACCCCTGTCAACTTTCTTGACTATAACACACTTCTCTCTCTTGGGCTGGTTCTACACCAGGTATGCAACTCTCCATGCTGGGTATCCCATGGCTCTGACATCTCCCACATCCTTGTTTGTGATGGGTAAGGAAAACTCCTTTTGCACTAGGAACGCATTCTAAATTCCTAAAAAAGAAAAACTTCGATTTGTGCAAGGTACCCATTCTAAATTTCTAAGTGATGAGCTTCCAGCAACTCTGACTCCTTGCTCCCTCCCCAACCTTGTAAAACTATTATGAGATAATGAATTGATTACTCTGGTTTTTGAAACCCCACTTTTGGATGTGTACCATAGAGCGAGACAGCTCCTTTACAGGGGAATAGAAATAGTTTTTTGAAGTTGAGGGGAGTGAAAGACATTTTTCATTCCACTTCACACAATTGAGATAGTTGTGGTGTCCACTTTTAAAATCTCTTCCTCTAGCCAGATCAGCATAACACGCCTTCAATTTGGGTTTGAGGCTGTCGGCCTGCTAGCAGTATTCAATAAATTCATTTAGTGATAAATTTAAAGCAAGTCTGTGGTCTTTTCCCAGTGTATTTGAAATCTCTCACATGTATCTCCAAGGCAACCCAGGCTTCACCTTCACAGCTTCACACGTGGTCTCTCTGGGCCTCCATGCAGGGACACCCCTGACACGTGCTTAGCCTTAATGGCTCTCCTTAACCGTGGAGGAAGATCCCACAACACCTTTCTTGTATTCTTGACTCTAAAGATCAGACTTCGTAACTGATGCTGCCAAATTCTGCTGGTTGATGGGGCTAAAACATGGGCCACTTCCTTCAGTAATGTCTGCATCAGCTTTCTGTTGCTGATTGCTTCTTCCACTGCTTAAGGTTTTTGTTTGTTTGTTTGTTTTTACTTTTTGTTTTCTTTTAATACCGTTTCACAAGTTGGAAGCTTAACTGGGCAGAGTATGGCCCTGAAGTCACTAGTCCCCTTATACCATCTAGCATCAGTGGCAAGCTTTACAGTCCAGGCAGCAATGACACACACCTTTAATCCCAGGAACCACACTAGCTTGCCATAGAAACCAGGTGGTAGTGATGCACGCCTTTAATCCCAGCACTAGAGAGGATTATATAACAGGAGGAGACAGCTCTCAGACAGTCTCACTCTGAGATTCCTGGAGACAAGATCGACATTTCAGACTCAGGGAGAGGTAAGAGCCAATGGTTGGCTGTTTTGCTTTTCAGTTCTTCAGGCTGAACCCCAATTTCTGTTTCTGAGTTTTTACTAATCGTGCTTCATTCAGGTTTTCTTTAAATTTGTTTTATCTCCTTGAGCTCTGGACTTTGCTCTGTTACATTTCCTGGTGCTTCTTTTCTCCTCAAAGATGACATTTTGTGTTTCTCTTTGTCCAGCTGTCTCTTTTTCATGATTGGTCTGCATGAAAGTGATTACTAATAACCACATGACAGAATGAATACTAGGCTGCCTTGAAATATCCTCTGCCAATGCCATTAATTAAAAAATCTTCAATTTAGCCTCAGGCAGATTTTTAAGATGGGGCAAAAAAAAAAGCAGACTTACTCTTTTCCAAAATATCACAAGAATGGTCGCTAGGCCATTCACTAATAGTTTCCCACTCTGAAGCTTCTTGAGCTAGGCTGCGATAATTTACATTGCTCTCAGCACCACTGTCCATGTTCCTCCTAGGATACCCCGGTAAGTGCCACTTAAAGTGTTCAACCACTTCTCTAGTTCAAAGTGCCAAAGTTCACATTACGCCAACACAAAGTGGCCAGACCCATCAAGAAAAATCCCAACCCCTGGTATCAGTTTCTTGCTTACGGTTTCAGAGGTTATTATCCATCATCATAGCAGGTAACATGACCACATGCATGGGGCATCGTGTTGGAGGAGTATTTGAGAGCTATATCCTGATCTATAGGCAGAGAGAGAGAGACCGAGAGAAAGAGACATACCCCCCCACACACACGGAGAGAGAGAGAGAGAGAGAGAGAGAGAGAGAGAGAGAGAGAGATTGATTTTGGTGGCATGGACTTTCAAAACCTCAAACCCACCCCCAATGGCACATATCCTCCAACAAGGCCATACTTTCTAATTCTTTTAAACAGTCCATTCCCTGGGGACTAAGCGCCAAAAAAGATAAGCCTATAGGGGTCATTCTTATTCAACTACCACAACAAGAAAAATGCCAGTCATCTTGGAGGTTTGCCACCTTTATTACCCAGTTATAACCCATCTCCCTGTCTACCTACCAGTGAGTCTGCCTGACTCCTAGCTTCTCAGCTTGGAACACCATCACAGCTTATCTAGATAACTACACTAGTCATCCAGTGGGGTCTAGAGACTTTTAGTCATCCCCTCAAGGCACTGCAGAAGCTATCATGCTAGATTATTTAAATTCACTTTTGGTTATACTCCTTCCCATAGGCCCTCATACATCTAAGTTTAGCTTTATTGAAGTATCATTATTCCAATGAAACATTTCCATTTCAGACATGCCAATGCTTTCCTGGTCTCTAAGTCTTCTCATATGCTTTTTTAAGACTCAGATCTGTACCCTGCTTTTTCCTCTGTCTGGAAAACTTCAAGTAGATCATTATAGCATGTCTGTTCTCTAACAAGAAGTCACCTGTGAGTTCTGAGTCTGAGTTATGCCATCTTAGACCTGCCCTGCCACCAAATATTATCCCACACTGTTAGCACCTGTTTGTGTTTGTATATCCATCACTTCGAGCATCATCTTATGGGAATTTAAAGCCATTCATTGTCATGCTCAAAATAAAGATCAGGGAGAGGAGATGAAAAAGTGCAATTATTGTTTCTGTGGAATTTGGAGAAAAAGGACCAGCTCAGGAGTTGATGAAGCTTCCTATTGATGATGAATTGGGGTTCAGAAGTGAATCAATGAATTTAATTTTTCTTTCAATCAGTTTAATTTCTCTTTCAACCTTTACATATTTGCCCTACATCCCCTTTTAGCATGTTCTTTCTTTTTACTTAATGTCTTAAGATTATAGTTGATTTAGTTTATGCTATAATTTTCCCTCAAGCCAATATCATAAGTTCTTTGTAAAAAATAAAGAGTTCCATTATCTAGAATAGAAATGCTAATGTGTTTTCCAGCTTATACCTTAGTATCCGTCCCAAGGAAATGAGGTGCACCCCAAATATCAATCACTTAACATTTAAAGCAATTGCCTTCAGTTGCACAGATTATATTGGGCTTCCTGCTAGACCATAGAGATAATACTTCTCAAGAGTACCTCTAGATGAGGTCTGTGAACTTCTAACTAAAAAGAGTTAGGCACAGTAACTTGTAGTAGGTGAGTTTCGGGGCTTTCCCAGTATCCATAGTCCCCCTTTTACACATAAGACCCATAAAAGTAGATACTTGAATGACCAGAGAAAGGAGAACTGAAAATCTCCAACCTGAACTACTCGAGTGACTCTCAAACAAGGAAAAGGGGGAACTGAGATGTCCCGTCCCAGGGAGTATACTGCTCAGATTCCAGGTAACTAGAAGCAGTGAGGTAGCAAATGTTACACAATCATGGAACAGCCACATACTGCAAAGATTTATTGCTCAGTAGTATTAACACTGAGAACATCTGCTCTAATTCAAACCTGGTAGATTCTATGACCTTGACTCTTTTTCCAACACCATCCACAGCTGCTCTGGCACTTTTCCTGAGGCTGTTGTAATTTATTTGAGTTGTTTCGAGGCCACCACTGAATACAGTGACACTAACAGAAAACTCTTGCAAAATTCCACTTCTCTGTTTGGCCACCTAGGGTGGAGCTTCCTATTTGCACAGGGCACTCATAAATAGACCACTGTGTTTCAAGGGATCTCCGCAATGGTATTAGGGAAGAGAACACCATAGGTACCATCCTCTTGTCCTTTCTTCCTACACCATGTGGAAGGGCAGGCAGGCTCTGAAATGTCTTATTTCAGTTCTTCTTGCCTGCCTGACTTCTGCTTCCTCACTCTATGGACAACCGTGAGTACCACCAAGGTCCTCTTAATGGTTAATTTAAGATAGAAGAGCTAGCTAGCAATATGCTTAAGCTATTGGCCAAAGAGTATTACAAGTAATATAGTTTCTGGATGATTATTTTGGAAGTCTGGGTAGCCAGGAGCAAGCAAGCAGCCTTCCCCAACAATTGGCACACCAATGTGGGGCTGACTTAATCCACATAAAACCTGAGAAAGTTTGGAAAGGAGTCCTAGACACAAAAGAACAGAGTTAAGCGTGGCTTTTTTGGTAGCATCATTTTCTCGGGTGGGCTCTGCTTGCTAGAAGAAAGCAGAGGCATAATTTCTTTAAAAAGCATGATTCAGCAGCAACAGCAAAAAGAAAGAAAGAAAGAAAGAGAGAGAGAGAGAGAGAGAGAGAAAGAAAGAAAGAAAGCTGCATGGTTTTAAAATGGTGGCTTCTTGCCAGCATCAACTCTGGCTCTTTCAGGAGGCCAAGCACTTGAATGGGACTTGTGGGCAGCATGCTGCAAATTACTTGGTGGCAACATGGACCAACTGGTTACCAGAGTTGAGGTTGTTAGCATGGCTCCCACCCAGCAGTCTCAGAAGCAGTGAATGGACTGCCACCATGTTGGAATGGGTGGAGCCAAAAGGCAAAGCAGCCTTAGTCCTAGCCAATCTACTTTGTATTTTAAGAAATGGTCCTGGTCAGAAAATGATTACAGATACACAATAAAGACAGATCAGAAGGGAAAAAAAGACCTCTAAATGGGTCACAGTGTTGGATAAATGTACATAGGCTTGATAGAGAGAAGAAAAAGAATATAGACAGTTATAAAAGTAAATGGTTATTTTAATAAAGTTTTTAAAGAGACAGAGTACAGACAGTCATTGATTAAAGGAGTAAAGAAAAATAAGTCAGTAAAGATGGAATATACACAGAGAGTCTGGATTATGTATATTATTATGTTTTCTTTGAATTTTTTTTACTGTAAATGAGCTAAGTTCAGAGAGACATTTCATTGTATGGGATGCTAAGCTAAAATAACATATATTTTAAAGGTATCTTGACTTCAAAGTTTGGGTCTAAGGATTTGTTGCTTTGGAAAAGAGGTTCTTCTTTTGTTTTCACAGAAGATGAGAACCTATGGATTCCTTCCAGACTAATGTGGTTTGATGGATCAAGATTCCCCAAAAGGTTGCCATGAACATCCCCCCAAAATTACTTTGCCCAATAAAAAACAGGAAGCAGTTTGGAGAAAGCTACTCCCAAATTTCCAAATATTGTTTATAAATGTTTCTTTATATTTAAAGGGGGATATACTATAGAGATCAATACTTTACATTGGTATGGATCTCGGTTTATTGGTACAAATTTAAGATCAATTATATATATTACTCTTGGTTAAGGTACTATGTTTGTGCAGCTCATTTAAAAATATAATGTATAATTAAGAAATACAGGTTAATAGATAGTCATCTGTAATAGTAAAACTTGTTAGTTAGGCTTTCTAGACATATAGAGATATATTTCAGTTAGATAGATAATCTTCAAACCTTTTAAAGACCTACAGAATATGGCATTTAAAATGTTTAAATTATTAACTTAAGACTTTTCATGACAATGAGACACATCTGCTCCTGGCAGCATAAATCTATTTAAAGAGGATGATGGTCATCAAAGAGGCTCCTGATGGAGTTTGTTGGCCATTTGGGAAAAAAAAAAAAAACTACTCTTGCCTAGACTGCTTGATATTATACTGTATGAACTGGATAGGGAAGAAAAATGACTGCTGGACTTGGCTAAAGGTGAGACTATCTTTTGAGGTTCCTGCTTCATAAAACAGTCTACCAGACATTCTGCAGGACACAGAAGAAAGCAACTGATGGACTTTGCCACTACAATGCAGAACAGATCTTTGGGTTTCCAAGATCTTCATAGGAAAGTCTACTAGATACTATGGGCCTGAAGGCTGAAGATGGATGCCCCAATGTTACAGAAAAACTTTGAGTGACTGTCCAGGCAGCAAGATGTCTCTGTCAAATCTAGAGTTTTGGAAGTTGCTTACAATGCACTTCCTGTTAACTTAGGTAATAGTATATCCTTCAGGAGTCTTTGGTGGAGTTGAAGAATAGATAGATATTTTTCCTTAGCTATGATAAAAGATAAAGTAGATATAAATGTTATAACTGTAATTCTTGCTTGATACCTGTTTTGTTATATGTAATTTTTTAAACTAATTTTTAAACTACCAGTAGAACTTGTTACTTGGTGCCCAAATAGCCACATTATCAGGAAAATATTGTTGAGTGGCTTTTCTTATTATCTTTCATCAAAAAAGTATATTTAAAGTGCTAAAAATCAAAGAAACCTGTTAATTTTTTTTTTCATTATATGATGTAGTAATGACAGGCTAGATTTGGGTCAAGTTTGGGTACAAAAAACCCGGATGCAAGAAGAAGGTAGAAGATGATTTCTACAGATAGCCTTTGGCACCTGCTCAAGTGTAACATGTATGAATCGTGCAACTCTGGACTGCACAGTCACATTATAAATCTTAGGTTTAAGAGTACCTGGAAATAAAAACAGGGCACTGAACTATTTTTCAATAATTAAACGTGGTAATTAAGAACAATCTTCATAAATTTTTATGAAAATAATAATTATTCTTTCCGCGTTTTCATTTTAAAAGATTTTTAAAAACTCCTAAAACTTGAATGCTAGCTGTTTAAGTGAAGGGTGTACATGCCATTTGAACCTGTCTTGATGGATATCACTGTTGAAGCCGAGTTATTACAAAAACTGATACTTGTCCGACCTCTCTACTGTGTCAGGTTTCACCTGCCATCTCAGCTGTAGAAATATAGATGGTGATAATTAGTGTAATGAAACTCCAGTCATAGACCTGTCCTCAGCTGACCCAAACTCTTTCCTTTACAGTAAGTATATGGCATTGGTTCCTACCCGGCTCTACACTGAGACCCCTGAAAAAATCTGCTTCCATCTATACGACCTGAATGAGACAGTGACTGTCAGAGCCTCTTTGCAGTTTCGCTCAGGAAGCAGAAGTCTGTTCAATGAGCTTGTGGTTGACAAGGACTTGTTCCACTGTGTCTCCTTCACTGTGAGTACGGGGACCGGTCCCAACTTGTTTTCTGTATTTATGTACATATGTGTGCAGATATCTAATGTACTCACATCATTCTGAGAAAGATTAATTTAGAAACACATCTACTTCTTCAAAACAATAGAAACTCAAAATATTTACCCAATAAACAAATAGCACAGATTATCCCACCCCAAAATGGGAAGAGCCAATACTTGTGCATATGCTCCTTTCCCACTGAAGTCTCTCAGAAATCCCACCACCCAGAGGACAAAGGATTTTGCCACTTCGTAGTACTTCCTGCTAGTACATTATAAGCTTCAGATGGCAGTCCAACTAGTCAGGACTACATCTCCTTTGTGTAACTGATATCCTGGGAAAGTTCTGGGTTTCTTCTCTGGACCTATCATCAAGACACAATTCCTACTGCCATTAATACATTAGTTTTCACTCTACCTTGGTTTCAGAGTTAGATCTAATTCTCAGTCAAGCTAGCACATACTCCATATAAATGACTGTGTCTTTGTTGCTTCCATCAACTCATATGAAACATTGTGCTTTCTTTTCTTACTTTTTTCCTGGTGTACCCTCCTCCTCAAAATGCTTAAACAAGAACTGACGGGCCTCCCTTCCTTCCCGTGGTGTGGAAGGAGCGGAGGGACTCTCAGCCCTCCAAAGGGTCAGATAGTGAAGGGTCTTGCGTTCCTCTCGTTCTCAGCTCCCCAGAGTCTCATCTTCCTATGAGAGGGGGTACCTGTCTGTCCACATCAAAGGACCAAAACACGAATTCAGCAAGAAGAATATGATGTTGGTGTGGAACAAAGTGAATGCCGTCTTTGTCCAAACAGACAAACCCGTGTACAAACCAGGACAAACAGGTGCGAAGCTCCATTATGGGCAACAAAAGTAAGAAGCCCTTCTCAACATGGCACAGAGAAGGTCTGGGTCTGGAACTCACTAGGAAATCCTCTCTCTCTCTCTCTCTTTGTCCAGTCAAATTCCGGGTTGTCTCTATGGATATAAATCTGCACCCTCTGAGTGAGTTGGTGAGTCTTTTACATGTGGCTGTTGGTGGGTTCATGAAGACACAATGTTACTGAAATATTCTCATTTCTAGCCCCTTGCTAAGGTATGAGTTGATCTTGCTTCCTATTCTGCTCATTTGCCTATTTACATCTCTTCCTCAGTTACTGTTGGCCCTGCTATGTTTTCCTTATATGTTGCAGTCTGTTACTGGTTAAGAGCCTCTGGGCTTTCTTTATACTTCATGGAGACTTTTACTGTACAGAACCTTTCGGCTTAATCATGTTTTTCTTGATGTTTTTGTGGTTTCTGTCACGTCATGCCATCCTTGAAGAACTCATTTCTAGTCTAATGGGTATTTCTATATGCAACTTTGTATTTAACACTTAGGTCCTTCCCTAAATGGACTCTCTTAAGTAAAAAACAGCATTTACCAGTCTCTCATCCTCCGTACTTCAGCAAGTTGTGGGTGTCTGTGCTAACAACTCTCTGCTACAAATAGAAGCTTCTCTGACGAGAGATGCTTTCTAAGTATAAAGATCAGTGGGTAACAGTTGGTTAGCTACCATGCCCTTTAGCAACATAATAATAATGTATTCTCCTTTAGGGCCTATGACACATCTAGCCATAGGTTCTTGGCTCGACAGTGTTGTCAAACGTGGGTTTCATCTTGCATAATGGGACTTAAATCTAGTCAGAGAGTGGTTGGTTACTTCCATGACATTTGTGTTACTATTGCACCCAGTGGGCATGTCTTGCCAGGCCAGGGGTTCTCATAGTTTATAGGGTTCACAGCTGGGTAAGATTGATGATTCCTCACCCCCTTGCACCCCTACCCCACCCCCTGTGGTGTGCATAGCACCTTCCAGCTCCATGAAAGTTAGACGGTAGGGATGATGGCTCCAATCAGCAGCAGCTTGACTGTGGAATGTGAAGGCCCAAATTAAACATATGAATAACATCCTCTCTTCTCAAGGACCATAGATTACTGTGTCAGAGAGGAAGGAAAGAGCATAAGAGTCAGAGGTAGTGAATGAATAAAAGGGAACAGTCCACTGGACTCAGCATGGCTGCCACAAATATGAACTTACAATTGTGTTAGCATGCACAAGCACGTGCAAGATCAAGCCAGATCAAACCTTGGCATGGAGAGGAGAGATGTTCGTGAAATCCCACCTCTAGCCGAGGCACTGGTGCTAACTGATAGCTACTGGGAGAGGTCAGTTTTCTTTAAGAGTACAGACCAAAGTAAGTCTAACTCCATCCTTCATTATATACGCATATGTATGGACACTCTCTTAATCGCTCTACCTAGCTCTGTAGGCTTGTGACACTATAAAATTCCCAGCATAGACTGTTGACTCACTTCCTAGTATTTTGTGTGTCTGTGCATAATACATTTTCATTCTGTGTGTGCGCATGTGTGTACACATGTATGTGCTAGCCAGAAGGCAATCTTAGCTTTCGTTTCTTGAGTGCTGAACACCGTGGCTTTTGACTTGGTCTCTGACTCACCTGGGGCTTGATGATCAGGCTAGGTGGGCTGGCCAGGGACCCTGTGAGAGCTGGCTGTCTCTGCTCCCCAGCTATGATGACAGCAGGCACCCGTTCCTGCTTTTTATGTGGATTCCGTAGATGGAACCCAGGTTCTTCTGCTTGAGCAGCTAGCATTTACCAGCTGCCTCTCCCTCCCGTCTTTCACTTCCTGGCTTCATGAACATTACTGCACCTTCATTTTTATTTAATTAAATTTATGTCCTCAGATTAATTCTTTCTTCAGAATTTCATCAACTGCTCCTCGATGTTTTGTGTAAATTTTACTATCAGGTTGCAGTTCTACAATTAGACTTGGAAATGTCATTGAAATATTAATAATGTATATATTGATTTGAAAAGAGTGTTTAATAACACCTTTAATCATTTAATAACAAATGTTTCTATGTATTTCCTAATGGTTTGCAATGTTCTTCTTAAGCCTACTGAATTTCCTAATTGACTTATTCCCCAAATCACAGTTTTCATTAATAAATGGTGTTGATAGAATTTATAATTCGTTTCCTTCATTTTCATGCAATTAAGATCTTTTTTCTGTGTACCCCATTACTTTTTTATCATGTTGATCTTGCTGAATTCCCTAGTCAAAATGACTTATCTTGAATTCCAATAGGTTTTGTGTGCCAGTTATAAAATGATCTTGCTACTACTGTACACAGTAGGGTTCATTTTCTCTGCCAGTTAAAGAATTAAAAGGCAGGAAAAATCTTGAGCACAGCACGTCGAATCTGCCAGCAAAGAAAGGCTTTTATTAGAGATGAGGAAACACACACACAACAGGAGCATGGGAGGGAAGACCCTCTGCAGAGGGGGATTGGAAAATCCTGTCTCCCCAGGGCTGGGGTCTTTGAGGAACTTTAAGGGGTCTTTCTTCTCTAATTGGTTTCTCTGCACCCTTCAGCCACGGTGAGTGGTGTCTTCCACAACAGAATATCAGCAACTAGTTATTGTGGGCAATCAAGAAGAGTGTAAGACCCTCTCCTGCTTTGGGGGTTTCTTGGGCCTCCCTGGCCAGCAACTCCTAAGGAGATATCTCATGCCTACCACTGGGACATATGTGCGGTGACCCAGGGCCGTCAGGAGCATTATCTAGACTTGCATTGTTCTTCTGACTCCTTTCAACTTATGCTTCTTAATTGACTTAGAAAAGAGTTTCCATGTGGTTTTTCATGGGTTCTTCTTGGGTTAACCCTCCCACCCTCCCCTATCGTCTCTCCCATCCTACACACTCATTCCTGTTTAAATATTTTGTCCCCAAAAGTGCACCTGTGCTTTGGCATCACCTATGTCATGCTTTGTCGCCTACTTTGAGGGATTTCCCTCCCCAGTGGTCCTCTTCTACTTGCTTGCATAAGACTCAAGATTAAACACGTAGCTCTATTTGGAGGGAGGCGCCACATGTAAGAACACACAGCAATCATCTTTCTGAACTTGTTCTGCCCAAATCCGTGAAGTCCCACAAAAGCCAACAAGGAGACCGAGTCCCATATGTAAAAACAAAGATCCTTTATTTTAATCAAGTTTGCAAACTAGGTCTCTCTGCATGTCCAATGTATTGGAATAACCCGAGAGCCTCGAGCTCAGTTAGAATTGGGTTTTTATAGTAGTAAAGGTGGGGGCGAGGGGTTTCCTAGGTTTAGAACCCCTGATTGGCTGACATTTGTCTAGGGGTGTCCTGGTGAGAGTGTGCTGGCAGGTGGTCCTATCTACAGTGGTTGGAATGCTAGGCGTTTCCTTTGGATGGTCTGTTATTGGGTTGGAGTCCAGTAACAGCTTGTGGTTCCTCTTACAGCCAGGCATTGCCTCAGGGTAAACTACTGAATCTCAGACCTCTTATTAAATTTATCGAGGGCCGAGTTCTACTCTGGCAGGTGATAATGGTTGGAAATAAAGAACTTCCTTAATAAAGAACTTCCTTTGGGTGACCTGTTCATACTTAGCTTATCTTGGCTGGCTCCCACAAACTTACCATTATCATTTCTGGAGTTTCACCCATTTGCCTGCAAATTTTGTGGTTTCGTTTTTTTGCAGCAGAATGAACTTTCATTGTGTACACCTGCACCACAGTTTCATCAGCTATTGTCATGGTTTCTTCTTCCAGACTTTCAGAAATAAGCTCTATATCACTAAAATTCCCTTACAACTGCCCCTGCTTGCTCCCTTTTCAACTGCTGGAAGTGATCGTGTTTTCTTCAAGTTGATACTCACCTAGAATGAGTTTACCGTTTCAGACAGCTCAGCTACAACAGAACCTTAAATGACCTTGCCACCGCCTACTTACTGTGTGATCTTCACCTCATCGATCAGAAACACTTCGCCCACAAAACCTCTGAACATGCAGCCGTGCCTTACTCAGCAGCAACTCTCCTTAGACACAGAGCAGCTATGAGCCCTTTCTTCCTTTGTAGTTAGTGTTGTTTATTTATGGTTATTTATTCCTTCTGTGCATTTATTATCCTTCCTCTGACCTAGAGCAATGGTTAGACACTGGTTTGCTCTGCTGAACTGCGTCCAGGAGGCGAATATTGAGTGTGTGTGCTCATTAGACGAGGAGTGGGAAGCCAGTGCCCTGCGTGAAGCGGGCCTAGCTATATGTGTGCCCAGGACACACCCCAAGTTAAGCATTATAACTGGATATATTTAAAAACTAGTCACCCCACTTCACACTGGAAATGTTCCTGATTTGAACAATAGGTTCTGTAATCTCCATACTGTAAAGGCTCAGGGTGGGTCTCACAGCACATTGGAGACACCTTGCTGATAAGGGCCCACGAAGCTCCATTTCTCAGTTCCTGTCCGTTAAGAGGTCCGCATGACTCTGAGAGTGCTAGAACATACACTTACAGTTTCTCTGTGGTGGTTAATTGGTTTGCAATTGACTTTGTTACCGGATATTAAACTCGCTGAATTCTGGCTGAAACTCCCATATGAAACACCGTATGGGCCATGGTGTGACTCTATTGGATTTGCTGTCTGTGTGAAATTTCTAAACCAGTGGTTCTCAACATTCCTAATGCTGTGACCCTTTAATACAGTTTCTTATGTGATGATCCCCAACCATACAGTTGTTTTTATTGCTACATCATAACCATGATTTTGTTACTGCTATGAATCATAATGTAAATAGTTTTGAAGATAGAGGTTTGCCAAGGGGGTTGTGACCCCTAGACTGAGAACACTGTTCTAAACTAACCCTGTTTTCTCTTTGTTCCAGTTTCCTCTGGTTTACATTGAGGTAAGAAACTCAACTATCTCCTATTCTGAGAGAGTCAGTCCGCTGGCAGTAACTAGACGTTGGCACACCGTAGCAGTACTATGGGTCGGCAGGCTTCCACCACCGCCCCAGATAACTGGTTCATATCCCCTACTTCACCTTTATTCCTCCCTGTCCAAAAGGAATATTAGCAAGTTCCCAGATGCTCCACCACACACACAGTGCTCTCAGATGTGTGGCTGCAGCTAACACTTTGTCTACTCAGAAAGTCTGCAACCTGTTTCACAGGATCCAAAAGGGAACCGCATTATGCAGTGGAGGGATGTTACCACGGAGACCGGGCTTAAGCAGCTGTCCTTCAGCCTATCCTCAGAGCCCATTCTGGGGTCCTACAAGATAGTGATACTAAAGCAATCAGGAGATAAGAAAGAACACTCCTTCACCGTGGAGGAATTCGGTACGCCTTGGGAAGACTGACAAGGGAAAGTGGCTGGCCTAAGTTTCTGGTTGAAATGGGATGAGTTCTTCCGGAGACATTAAGTTCCAGTGCATAAGACTGGGCTTCATCTGACTCTCGCTAATCTACCCATCTAGCAACGTGGAGCTTCCAGAGAGTTCTGGGATTTTCAGAAGCAAATTCTTTGGTTTTTTTCCTCTTTAAGTAGATACCTCTGAGCTTTTCAAACTGGATATAACCTATGACGGCTCAACTTAATAACTTTAGAGGGGGTGGTTACCTCAATAATATGAAATCACCATTTCTTGGTGGAGGCTGATCAGTTAAGCAACTAGAAAAGTCATTTCCCACCTGAGTTTCTCCTCCCTCTCTCTCTCCCAATAGTGCTTCCCAGATTTGAAGTTCAAGTAAAGGTCCCAAAGGCCATCTCGATACAAGATGAAAAGCTCAATGTGACCGTGTGCGGGATGTGAGTCAGCTGTGTTTAACCTTCTAGCCTTAAGAATATGCTTGAACATAAAAATATCTGAGATAAGGCCTCACAGTAGAGTCTTTACAAATGCTAAGGCTGTGTGGCCTTCCCTCCTAGAATGTTCCCCCACAGTGTTCATTTCCTCTTCATGTCCCTGACTGCTCTGCATCTATCACTGCTTGACCATTCATTGTGTATGTTGCTGATGATAATTCTGATGACACCAATGATAAAATTAACTGTATGAGGCAGTAGAGAGTTCCTGCCTTTGGAGACAGGAAGGTACCTAAAAAGATTCTCTGACCCATGTGAAGAGAACACAGGCACTAAATTCGGCATTCTTCTGACCTATTTCGGGTGGACGCAAAGAGCAGAGAAACAAGAGTTCCCAGTCTGGCTCTACTTCCGGTCACTGCCGCCCAAGTTGAACTTTTAAACAGCTCACTTTTTTGTTTGCGTTTCTGTACCTGATAAATAAGGACCCTGGGCCACAGCAACCGAAATTGCTCTTTAAGTCTAGAATTGCAGTAAGCCAAACCATGGTAGAAGGAATTTGCAAAGGGGCCTGAATCAAACAGAAGAGGCACACCCGAGCTCACAACTGCTTGCCATTAAAATAAACACGCTCAAAAGGAAACTGACAGAAAGAAGGCAAAAGATGGAGGAAGTCTGTTAGAATAGTTCTGAGTCCTTTCACCATGCTTCCCAGTCCTCTCAGCCCCCGCCCCCATTTGCTAGCTGAAGTTCCTGATTTGGTCATTTAATCTTTCCAGAACTACAAAGGGGAGAAAATCCTGTCGTTCCCCCCCCCAGAGGTTCTTAATGAGGCAAAATTGTTAATATGTCTAGTTAGGAAGTGTCATGTGGTACTAACGGACCGTATTTGCTGTCATTGTGAAACTACATAGTCAATCTACTGCTACAGATGGACCAAGTGACCATGGATGGAAGGACTTAGGGCTCTACTTTAGGAAGACCCTTGTCTCTCTGACAGGTATACCTATGGGAAGCCTGTGCCAGGACATGCAAAGATACAGATATGTTATAAATATAAGGAGCATATCAAGAATAAAGAGACTGGATGCAAAGAAGTCAGGAGCCGGGTGAGTAAATCTGTTCAAAGGCCTGTTTTCAAGATCCAGGGTTAACTAACAGAAACACAGACAGCAAGACTGAGAAGAAACACACACCCAGATATTAAAAGAGGATGTTCTGGGACCTTGGGACCTCAGGACCTTGGAGTGTGGCTCTGTGGTGGAACACTAGCCAGGCAGGTGTGCAATTCCCAGCACCCCCACCACCTCATTGACAATATTGATAGTCCTGGGACCCACTATTACTATAGGGATAGGTCAGCACCTTTGCGGCTAACCTTGGCCACCAATAATTTTTAGTCTGTATTCATTGTACAAAAGTAATAGGTTTATGACATTTTCATACATAAGGATTCTGTATCTTCACGGTATTCCCTAGTCCCATTGCCACCTCTGCTCCTGTGGTCTTCTCCTCTTCCTGTGTTGTCCTTGCTACTTTCATGCCTTTTAGACTATTCTTTGAAAGTATGCTTTAATTGGCACATATAGAATGTGAGTAAATTGTACCAAACAATAGGCTTCTTTCCAATACATTCTTACTCGTGTATCACATACTTGATTATCTCTTTCGTTACCTTCGCTCTTCCCTCATCCGTCTTGCTGGCGGACTCTTCTTCCCCAATGGAACAGCATCTACTTCGCAGTCCTTTTTGTTTTCCCCTTTCATGTGGAGGAAAGCACACACTGCTGTGTGTCTAAGTCTGGTATATTTTGTGAAAGGTGACAGTCCCCAAGCCTGTACCATTCTCTGGTCCAGTTTTGAGTATCCACTCATCAACTGATGGACTCACTTGTTTGTGAATCAATAAATGCCAAGCATGCACGTGAACACAGCTCTTGATATCCTGATATAGGTTCCTTTTATACATTCCTGATGGATGATCATGTGGTATGTTGACCTTGCGTTTTCTGAGAAGCGTCTATACGTGCTTGTTAAGTGGCTGTACTAGGTTGTAGTCTCACGTGACCACAGTGTATGAAGTGTAGAGAGCCCAAGGTCCTTGGGCTCACAGATAAGCATTAGGGAAACCAGGTAGGTTAAACATGCAGGATCGTCTCCTCCACCCAATGGAATGGGTGTAGTTAATATCCTGGTATCTGTAGGAGCAGGACACACCTGAACCCCCAGACTATACGTTTATCCCAGACTCTTCCTTTCCAGACCCTTATCTTGAGCTTTGTTTCTCAGTCTATAGAACCCATCCTTATGGAAGTTGTCATGTGTACTTTACAACAGACTTGGTGACATCTGTGCTCCCGGTAAGGCCAGGCCACTCCGGACTCCCACAAACTCTTATGTTTATTCGTTAGTTTATTCATTTAGTCATTCTCCATAGACCCTTAGCTGAGCCTTGTTTTTCAGTCAATAGACCCCATCTTTATGGAAGTGGTCACATGTACTTTGTAAAGAGTCTCAATGTAAACATCTTTTAAGCTTTGTTGCATACACATGGGGTTGGGTTAATTTTTTTAAGTTCATGAAAGTTTATTTAACTCAGCTTAATGTTTCACGTGTGTCTTTTTACTTTTCTTTCTAAAACAATCTTATTTAAAACAATCCTTATTCCCTCTCCCTCCTGTCCTCCAACTTCCTCCATCTTCTCCCCACCCCACCCCATACCCACTCCTCAGAGAGGGTGAGGCCTCCCATGGGGAGTCAACAAAGTCTATCACCTCACTTGAGGCAGGACCAAGGCCCATCCCCCTGTAGCTAGGCTGAGCAAGGTATCCCTCCATAGGGAATGGGCTCCAAAGAGTCAGCTCAGGCACTAGGGGTAAATACTTGTTCCCCTGCTAGTGACCCCACAAACTGTCCAAGCCACACAGCTGTCACTCACATTCACAGGGCCTAGTTCAGTCTTATGGGGGTTCCCCTGCTGTCAGTTCCACTAGCTCAGGTCAGCTGTTTCTGTGGGTTTCCCCTGTCATGTTCTTGGCCCCTTTGCTCATATATCACTCCTCCCTCTCTATGGCTGGACTCCAGGAGTTCAGTCCAGTGCTTAGCTGTGGATCTCTGCATCTGCTTCCATCAGTTACTGGATAAATTAAGGTAGTCATGACAATTAAGGTAGTCATCGATCTGATTAGAGGGGAAAGACATTTTATGTACCCTCTCCACTATTGCTTATCTGGAGTCATCCTTGTTGGTTCCTGGAACTACCCTAGTGCCTGGTTTCTCACTAACCCCATTAATGGTTCCCTCTTTAAAGGTATCTCTTTCTTTGCTCTCCCTCTCTGCCCTTCACCCAGCTCGGTCTTCCTGATCCCTCATGTTCTTCTCCCTGCTCCCCTTCTCACTCCCCACTCCCCTACCATGCTCCCCTGTCCCTCTATGCTGCCTCTGCATTCTGGTTTTTTACATTCTGTCTGATGCTTGTTCCATGACTTTCCCTGGTCCTTTAATGCCGTGGTTATGTTGGAGATATAGCAGGTGGGCTGAGCACATCGCAGGCACTTGCTCTCTTCATTGTGATGAGTTGTGGTTCTCTATCATGTCTTTAGAGATTGAAAAACAAGAGTATTTGATGAGGGGTAAGATCTACACGTATCTGAAGTATAAGGAAAAGTCTTAAGTCTTTGGAATATAATAAGGAGCTATATTAGTTTAGGAAAATGGCAGTGGTGCCCCCCCCCCGAGTCTATGTGACTGTTGAAGTTGTCTATTTCTTATTGGTTTAACATTTGTATTTTCAATGAATGTAGAAATTTGTCCATTTATTTTAGGTTTTCTAAATAATTAATGTAGTACAGGTTTTTAAAGTATTCCTTTACAATCGTCTAAATCTCTTTAATAACTGTGTAATGTTTCCTTGTAAATTTCTGATTCTGTTAATTTGAGTAATTTCTTTCTGTCTTTTGGTTGATTGTTCCAAAGGTCTGTTGATCTTATCTTCATAAATAACCATATCTTAGACTCATTAATTCTTTGTATTCTCTATTTCTATTCTACTAATTTCTGTCCTAGTCTTTATTATTTTTCCCATTTATTAATATTGAGTTTCTTTTTCAAATCCTTGACTTCTATCATCAAGTCATTTATTTATGTGATTTCTCTCCTTTTTTATGCCAGTATTCAGATCTGCAAATGTCCCTCTTAGGACTGCTATGAATGTGTTCCAGAGATTTTATTGTGCTGTGTTTTCATTTTCACTTAATTTCAGGATTTTTTAATTTTTCTTTTTTTATTTCTTCTTTGATTCACTCATTATTCAGTAGTGGGCTGTTTCATTTCCATGAGTTGGTGTAATTTCCAGAAATTCTTTTGCTGTTGGTTCTAAGCTGAATTGCATTGTGGTCAAATAGGAAGGACTAGGTTATTTAAATTTTCAACAAATATGTTTGTTCAGATTTGTTTTGTGTCCCAGTTTGTAGTCTATTTTACAGAAACTTCCATTTGTTACTTCAAAGAATAATAAGTATTCTTTGGTGTTTAGGTGGAATATTCTATAGGTATAGATTAGCTTTATTTAATGTATGATGTCATTTAATTTTGGTGCTTCTATGTTTATCTTTGGTCCAGATGCCCTAATAGGGGAACTGAGGCTTAGAAATCAACTGTAACTACTGAATTGGGCTTCATTTGTGTCTTGAAGTCCAGTAGTATGGTTTTTATGAAGGTGTGCGTGCTAGAGTTTACCTCATATATGTTTACAATTGTAGTGTCAGTTCAGTTAATTATTCCCTTGATAGGAATAAAGTATTCCTCTTTTTCTCTTCTCTATCCTTGAAGATAAAATGAGCTTCTTGTAAACCACAAAAAGACCAATATTGTTTCTTAACCCATTCAACTATCCTGTGTCTTTTGATTGTAGAGTTAAAGCCATTAATATTTAAAGTTGTCTCTGGAAGGTATCTGTTGATTGCTACCATTTTATTATTTTGTTGATATTTGTGTTTAATCCTATTTCATATTATAATAATCATAGCTTCATTTTTTCTTTTCAGTAGACTATTACCTCTGCTTATTACCCTCCTCAGTCCAAAATATTGTTTCTACTATTCTCTGTATGGCTGGTTTGATGGACATTAATTCTTTTAGCCTGTTTGTCACTTCAAAGTCTTATCAATTTTAAGATCTTCTTGAGACTTGTGAGTTGTTTCCTTCCTGAGCCTTGTAATTCTTGTTTATGTCCTGGGTCTTAGTGAGCCTCCTTCCAGACAGAATGTTTAAACTCAGATGAAATTCCTATACAACACTCTGGAAATTATTATTTTTTATCCAGATGGCCAATTAATGAGTGTGTGGTACTAAAGTCGCCCATTATGATTGCGTCAGGTTCTATCTATCCTTTCCTTAGTAGTATTTCTTTTATGAAATTGATGCATTGACATGATTATTTAGTATCCTCTTTTTGGTGTATTCATTTCACTAATAGGTAGTGAGTTTTTATTTCTTGTAACTAATTTTGCACTGAAGTCTATTTTATGAGTATTGATACTCCTGATTCTTACCAGCTTTGGATTTTCTTGTTTTTTTTGTTTTTTGTTTTTTTTTTTGTTTTTTTGTTTTTTTGGTTTTTTTTTTTTTGTTGTTGTTGTTTTTGGTTTTTCGAGACAGGGTTTCTCTGTGGTTTTGGAGCCTGTCCTGGAACTAGCTCTTGTAGACCAGGCTGGTCTCGAACTCACAGAGATCCGCCTGCCTCTGCCTCCCAAGTTCTGGGATTAAAGGCGTGCACCACCACCGCCCGGCAGCTTTGGATTTTCTTATCTATTCTTTTTTCTCTGTCTTAGTTAAGATTTCTCTTGCTATGAAGAGACACCATGACCACAGCAAGTCTTATAAAGGAAAATATTTAATTAAGTAGCTTACAGTTCATAGGTTCAGTCCATTATTCTCATGCCATCATGCCTGGCAGCAGGCAGATAAACATGGTGCTAGAGAGGTAGCTGAGAGTTTTACAACTTGAGCAGGCAACAGGAAGTGTTCTACAGTACTGGACATGGCTTGAGCATATAAAGACCTCAAAGTCTGCCTCCACAGTGGCACACACCCTCTAACAAGGCCATACCTACTCCAACAAAGCCACACCTCCCAATAGTGCCATTCCCTGTGACCTTAAAGGGGTCAATTATATCCAAACTATCATACTATCCTTTCATGTTTTCTTCTAACTAGTTGTCCTGTGTCCCCTAGAGAGTTAAAATCATTTGTATTTGAGTTTGTTTGTTGACAATTATGTATTTGTTTATTTATGTGTTTATTTGCTATGATTTTATTGGATGTTCTGGTTGGTTCACACGCTATTTCTCTTTTATTATCCAGCATATCTGCTGCCGACTTTCCTATTCTTGTCCTGAGCTGATAATTTCAGTGTTCTGGGATTTAGTTAGTGAGGAGTTGTGTTCTTTCGTAGTTGTCATATTCCCTTGTTTCATGTTTCCTGTCTCTTCATCGTGATCTACATATCTCCTATAATACATATCTCCTCCAGTTTTATTTGGGGGTCTTCTAAATAAGCAGTTTTCACTCAACAGCCCGGTACCCACTGCCGTTCAGAGACAAGAAAACAAACTGCTATACCACCAGGAAACCAAAGACAATAGAGTGATACAATTTAAATAAAATAAAGTGCAGTGCTATGCCAGCAATCACTGTAGAAATGAAAACGGAAGGCAACATAAACTGTGAAGTTAAAATTGAATTAAGAGCCGGGCGGTGGTGGCACATGCTTTTAATCCGAGCACTTGGGAGGCAGAGGCAGATGGATCTCTGTGAGTTCAAGGCCAGCCTGGTCTACAGAGCGAGGTCCAGAACAGGCACCAAAAGTCATAGAGAAACCCTGTCTCTAAACAAAAACAAAAAAATAGCTGGATGGTGGTCTCACACCTTTAATCTGAGCACTCAGGAGGCAAAGACAAGTGGAGCTCTGTGAGCTCAAGGCCAGCCTGGGCTACAGAGTGAGTTCCAGAACAGGTTCCAAAGCTGCAGAGAAACAAACAAAAAGCAAAGTAATATAATTCTGGCTACCCTTCTCTTTCACATTTCAGAATAATATCTGTCCTTTCTCCTCTGAAGACTTTTCTCCATCACAGAGCCACACCGAGGCAACCCCTAAGCCCCCATTACACAACTGGAAATAGATTTCACTTTTTTTTTTAACCAGAAAAATCTATTTACTGGTACTTGGTATCAAGCCAACAGTTTCACGCCTACTAGTAAAATGTACCACTGAACTACACCCAAGCCTGTAGTTGCTGTTTTAAATAATACAAAGTGATTATTAAGTCCTAATGACATACAAGAAAGCAGTCTGTTTACATTCTCATTGTGAATTTACTTAGTACTCTTCATTGTCTATGAAGACAATCACTATTTTTATAGATGACAAAGCCGAGACAGCTTTGTGCCTGGCTCATGACCGTGGCACCCATCAGCTCAGTGTGTGAGCTGAGTCCCGGTGCTTATGACCGTAATGCCATGCCATAAAGCACCGAGCACCCACGTGTCTCAATGAAGCCCGCACGCGTAGGTTTGAGCTGCCCATCCATCTGAACACTGTGCCTTCTTTCCTTGTTTTTATCTTGCATATCAGCTAGACAGCAATGGCTGCACCACACAAGAAGGAAACATCAGCGTGTTTGAATTAAAGCAAAGGTATTATAGAGTCCAGCATCTTCAAGTGGACGCGAAGGTTATAGAAGAAGGGACAGGTACGTGAGTAATATGGAGAAGGAGGCTATGAAAACTCACACCTGTTCACGTCAACAGTGGTTTAAATGGTGTTGAAAAAGGATGTAAAATACAAATAATTCTTTTCTAACTGGCTTGGGCTTTCAATGATGCTACTAATTTCTTTTTCAGGATTTGAGTTCACTGGATCTAGGAGAACTGAAATTGAAAGAACAACAACCAAACTCTTATTCGTGAAAGCAGACTCACACTTTAAATACGGGATTCCATTCCTTGTGAAAGTAAAGTACTTTTGGATTCATAGATGCTTGGGCTGTATTGTGGTTCCTCAACCCAGGCCATTCTGCTCGGTGTTCGACTTGTCTGACCTCACTGCTTGCCAAACAGGAATTTAGCTTGCTGGTAGAGCTTGTACTTCACATGGTCAAGTGCATGAGTTCAATTCTCAGAACTAAACTGAAAACTTAAAAAAGTTATCAGGATATCCCAAATCTAAAGCTTATGTAGCAAAATTTATATTTATAACTATTGTCCTTGAAAACCTTAAACCCCAAAGCCCCTGGCTTTCATTGCACATCCAGTTCTACTAAAGTGTTAGATGTTTGTAAAATATTTTTTGGATGCTGTTAGTTGGTGCATCTTTTGAGATCTTTATATAATATTGAAACACGTTTTTCTCTTATACTTTGTGTAGTATCATCATCCCTAGACTATACTTTTCTTCCTTGTTCAACTCAGGTCCGTCTAGTGGATCCCAATGGAGCCCCCATCCCAAATGAGCAAGTCTTCATCAAACCGCGGGAACTTGGCTACACCAATGTTACTACCACGGATCAGCATGGCCTGGCAGAGTTCTCCATCAACATCACCAACGTTGACATACATTCCCTCGCTATCAAAGTGAGTCAGAAACAGGGGCACGAGACACATAGTGAAGCTTTGGAACAGCTGGGACTCAATAGTGTGCAGCTTAAGGAAGAAGTATTCCCATGCCAAGCTGTCTCATTTTAGGACAAAACGCAAATGGTTTCTGATAAGTAATAAGAGCATAAGCAAAGGACGACAGAAATAAGTGCACACATTATGAATATGTGCTATTTTTTAATTACACATTTAATTAATAAACATGTCTATTAAGATAACATTTTAATTAGCTAAATTGATTAATTAATGTGTTATTTTTAATTAGCATAGAAAAGAACAGGTTTCACTCTGGCATTTTCAAACATTTGGTTGCTTGATCCTCCTCCCCAGTTATCTCTCCGTCTCCCCACCCCCCACTCACACGCTTCTGCCCCCAGTTGTCTGCTCTCCATACCCACACCACATACTTCAGATTTCTACTGTGCTGCTCTTTGATCTTCTTTCTCAGGCTTGGGCCTCATCTCCTTTCTTTCTCATCTTACTTCTTTTTTCTTTTTCCCCAGACTCCCTTTCTACTGCTTTAGTAATGAAATTTATCTCTAATTTTTTTGCATGTTTTTAACAACTTTTCATTGATTCCTTGTGGATTTCACATCATGCATCCCAACCCCACTCATCTCCCCATCCCCTTGCTTCTGCCCTCTGCTCTTGCAATGCTCCCCTCAAAAAAAATTTAAAAGTAAAACAAATAACAAACAAACAAAAACAGAAAAAAACACCAAAAAAAAAAATCTTGGTGTGGAAGCTGTAGTGTGCCCCCAGTGAGTCACACAGTAAACCCTTAGTCCCTACATCTTCTAAGTGTTCATTGCAATGAGTCGTTGGTCTGGTTCAAGGCCTCTGGCTTCTGCTACACTATCAATACTGGGCCCCAAATCTCCTGGTTTTCCAGTACCTGGCCTCAAAGCCAAGGAAGCATATAAGATGTTATGTAGTTTTATAAGTCTAATTTTTAAAACGATTAATGACAAAATGTGTTGTTTCTCCAGGTCTACCACAGGGAGGAAAGTCCTTGTCGTTTTTTCCCGTGCGCAGCAGTCGAATACGCAGAGGCGCACCACATAGCGCACAGTGTCTACTCCTACAGCTGGAGCTACGTCCACCTGGAGACAGAGGCGGGCGGCGTCTTGCCCTGCAGTCAGACTAAGACAATCCGGGCACATTTCATTCTGAAGGGGCCAGTCTTGAGAGTGCTGAGAGAACTCACTTTTTATTACCTGGTGAGTTCTAGCTCCACGCTGAGAAATACAAAGAGTCTTTTCACCTCCTGACCGTGCCTCTCCTCCTGCCATGTAAAATTTCGATGTAAACTTGGAAAACACTTTTTAATCTCAGGTCATGGCCAAGGGCAGAATTATCCAGACTGGAAAGCACACACACCACACGGAGCCAGGAGAATGTGAGTGAGTCCCACCCAGTAGCACGTCTCCACTGAGTTCCCCACAATATCACCAGAGAGATCTCAGCACTGAACAGCTAAGGATACTCCATGACGCTTGTGTGTCACGGTAAACACCCTCCACAGCCGGAAGTCCAGGTTCTGCCATCTCAAGTAGGTTATCTCTTCAGGATGGACGAGTCTCAGACCCCTAACGTGGGTCTCATACAACATGGTGAAATTTCTATTCTGAAGAGGTAACCCCCGAAAATACAAAGTACTCCAAGATACACCCCAAGTGAGGAATCTATGCATTTACAAACAGATTATCACCACCAAGGCAAAAGGTGTTATCTTAGCGTCAACCCCCCACCAAAATCTGGAGGGTTCCAGCCTTTGTCTTTAGGCCAGTCAAGATGCACCAGTTTTTATCCATTTGATTTATTTTTATTGTTTTAAATTGTGTGTGTGTGTGTGTGTGTGTGTGTGTGTACGCACGCTCTTATGAGTTAGTATGTGCAGATCAGTGTGGGTGACCTCAGAGTCAGAGGCATCAGATCCCCTGAAGTTGGAGTTACAGAGAGTTCTGAGCAGCCTGATGTGGGTGCTGGGAATCAAACTTGGGTTCTCTAGAAGAGCATCAAGCGATCTTAAACTTCTGAGATATCTCTCCAGTCCTTTGCTTTTATTTTTAAAGATATTTTATTTCTTCTTTGAAGGTTACATATATTTATACAATGTATTTTCGATTTATTTATTTCATATTCTCACTGAAGTTTTCCCTTCCTCATCTCCTCCCATTCCCTCCCCCACCCCCTAAATCCACTCCTCCTCTGTTTCTGTCCAACAGGCCTCACGTGGACGTCAGGAAGACATGGCACATCAAATTGTGGTAAGACCAAGCACCTCCCTTGTACTAAGTCTGGGCAAGGCGGCCCAGCATGAGGAATGGGCTCCCAAAAGTCATCCAAAGCATCAGGGGCAGCCCTTGTTCCCATTGTTAGGAGTCCCACAACTAGACCAAGCTACACAATTGTCACATATATGTAGAGGGCCCAGGTCAGTAACACACAGGCTCTCTGGTTATTGGCCCAGACTCTGAGTTCCTATAAGCCAAGTTAATCGATTTTGTGAGTTGTGTTCTTGTAGTGTCCTTGAACCCTCTGACTCCTACAGTTCTTCCTCCCTCTCTTCAGAGAAATTCCCCGAGCTCAGCCTAATTCTTGGTTGTGTGTCTCTGCATCTGTTTCCATCAGTTACTGGATGAAGATTCTCTGGTGACGGTTGGGATAGTCACCAATCTGATAACAGGAAATGGCCAGTTTAGGCTACATATCCACTATTACTAGGAGTCTTAGCTGGGGTCATCCTTATGGATTCCTGGGAGTTTCCCGTGCACCAGGTTTCTACCTGACCCCAAAATGCGCCCCCTTTCCAGTCGTCTCATTCAGTACTCTCCCCTCCACCCACTCTCCAACACAATCCCTCAAGTTCCCATCACCACCTGCCCCCAGTCCACCATGAGATCGCTTCTATTTCCCCTTTCCAGGGAAATCAATGTGTCCCATCCCCTTTTGAGCCCTCTCTGACCAACTCTAAAATCTATTTATCTATTTAATAAAATATCCAGTTACTTTTTCTACGAACACTAAATAGGAGTCATAATACCCATCTTGAGAAGGTTTATGAATCTCCTCAGATGCACCAGAAGCAATAACAGAGACTTCTAAAATTGCATAATATTCTCTCAAGAAATGGAAATACAGTGAGCATTTCATTAACTCCAAAGATATGCTTATTATTTCCAAATGTAGCTTGCTCCTCTGAGATCAAGTTGTCATCTATATTCTTCTTCTTCTGATCTTAATAATAAATGAAACATCAGGCAAGGGTTGTTTCATCCCTTTTCATAACAGGAGTATCTAACAGATGCTGTTTGGGATGTTAGGGGTAAAAGAGTTAAGAGCTTAGTATATGATTAGCTATAAATAAGCACTATAGCCTTCCATGGTAAACATCTTGGTGGGACGCTGTGAGCATCCCACACCCTCCTGAGATCATTAGCATGCGAACAGTTAACCACAGAACAGACCAGATGTGAGAATGTCTTCCACATACAGATAGTCCCCCAGATCCCTGTGTTTAGCTATTTGGGCTTTCCTGACAGTATTCTGACCCATGCCTGCCTCTTCCCATTCCCCACAGCTCCAGTGAAAGGGAACTTTGCCCTGGAGATCCCTGTGGAGTTGAGCATGGCGCCCGTGGCTAAGATACTCATCTATGCCATCTTGCCTGATGGAGAAATGATTGCAGATTCTGCAAACTTTGACATTGAAAAGTGTCTTCTCAACAAAGTGAGTGACTTATTTCTAAAAATCTCTATTTAAAAAAGAAAACCACCTCTTAAGGATACAGATTTCATAAACTAAACTCAGGAGCAGGTGTGCGCCTCAGTGCAAAGATACAGATGGCACTGGAGTGCCAGATTTTAATTCACAAACCCCCAAATGGCTGGAGGTTGGTGAGAAAGAAAGAAAGGAAGTGGGAACAAGAGAGGGGAACTGAACACTTTTAATAGCTTGCTAACTACCTCAAAGTCAGATAACTTAAAATTTTTACTGTATTTATCTGCATGTGCAATGTGCACATGAATGCACACATGTGGATGAAAGAGAACAATTTTTCAATGCCTGTCTCCTCCCACAGGAGTCTGGGAGATCAAATTCAGGACATCAGACTCATGGCAGGTGCCTTTGCCCAGTGAGCCATCTCATAGGCCCTTAATGTCACATAGTGTTATGCAAGACCAGTAATAGAATCCAGGCCTATCAATTGTTAGTGTACTTCCTTTTCCTCCAGTTTTTCATTATGACTTTTTTTGTGTATTATAAAGACATAGGGCCTTGCTATTACTAAATTTTATGATACGACACTATTAAATCATAGATCCCAACACTCATGTGACAAACCAGGCGTGACTGGTGACTCCTATAGCCCCAGTGCTGTGGAGGCCAGAGGCAGGAGAATTGCTGGAACTTGACAGCTGTCAGTTTAGCCCAGGTTTCTGTCTATAAGGTAGAGAGTGAGAGAAGGGCACCTGCATCTTCCTCCGGCCTCTGCCTGGTGCATCGGTACATGCACCTGCACACACGGGTGCATGACACCGTACTCAAATACATGTGCACACAGACCAAAAACGAGCTAGTTGCAAGAATTTCAAGGAGCCAAAATAGTCGTTTATTGCTTTAGAGTTTGACTGACACAACTCCCATCTTCCTAAATCAATCCCAATGATGAAAAAGGAAGCGAAGAGCCTCGGCTGACCTCCCGACAGTCATGATCTGGCAAGCGGATGTGCACGCAGAGGTAGAGGGTGACTCAAGTGGCAGGCTTCCAGGTGGCAAGAGCAGGAAGCTGGCTAAGCCTGATTCCCCTTCCCACAGGTGGACCTGAGCTTCACTCCAGCCCAAAGTCTTCCCGCCTCACACGCCCATCTGCAGGTCACAGCTTCTCCTCAGTCCCTCTGTGGCCTGAGAGCCGTGGACCAAAGCGTGCTGCTCCTGAGGCCTGAAGCTGAGCTCTCCCCTTCCTTGGTGAGTCCTTATCATCCTCTGTCCAAGAGAGGCCAGAGGTGAGGCTCCAGGTACTGGTTCTGATAAAACAGTAGTCATTCAGACTCTAGGACTCTTTTTTTTTTTTTTTTTTTTTTAAATATTTATTTATTTATTTATGTATGTATACAATATTCTGTCCGTGTGTATGTTTGCAGGCCAGAAGAGGGCACCAGACCCCATTACAGATGGTTGTGAGCCACCATGTGGTTGCTGGGAATTGAACTCAGGACCTTTGGAAGAGCAAGCAATGCTCTTAACCTCTGAGCCATCTCTCCAGCCCCTCTAGGACTCTTTAATGTAAAAATACCGCATTTAATGCTAAAGGCATTGCTAAAGGAGCTCTTCATTATAAAACCCCAAAGAACAGCTCTGAAAACTTCAGTCAATAAACTCTAGACAAAGCCTGAAGCAAAGCACTCAGTGGGTTGTAAAGCCTGTGTGTGGCCCTGGTCCTCTGTGTCCTTACTGCTCGTCTCCCACCCCAGGAGTGGCTGCCCCCTAGCACGTTCCCAATGGAGCTTTTCAGAAAGATGCTGTCTGTGGGAGCCAAACAAAATCATTTACACAGATGGAATCTTGGGCATCTCAAGAGTTCCCCAAATAAGAAAAATACGTAATGCTTTGAATTAAAAACACTACAAGGAGGTTCTCAATTTGCTCTGAAAGTTCTCAGATGTGCAAATGAAACCATAACCATAGCAAAATTCTTCTTCATATTGAAGTAAGAATGGGCTTTAGTAAGGAAAATTACATATCATGTAATAGTTTAAAAGAAATTATTGACACTGGCTAATAGCCTATTTTAAAATGTATGTAAGGTGCATACGTAACCTTTAGTCCAGACAACGCTGGGAAGTAACCAGTCTTCGACTAACGCACAAGGTAAACCAGCATTTACTTTCATTTTAATGGCGGAATTTTATGGCGCACATGCAGAAAACAGCTGAGGAAGGAATATGACTAAAATGCTTTACTGTTAGAGTCTGACTTTCCCCCAAATCTATTAAATAAAAGATTTCTTGAGGAATTGCTTTAGCTGACAAATACTGGCAATTAGTTTTTTTTTTTTTAAAAAAAAAAAAAAGCAAGCAAACAAACAAAAGCATGCATGGCTTCCCAAGGGGAGTCAACCAAGTCTGACACATCACTTTGAGGCAGGACCAAGGCCCTCCACCCTGTATCTGGACTGAGCAAGGTATCCCTCCACAGGGAAAGGACTCCAAAAAGCCAGTCCAAGAAGTAGGGATAAATCCTGGTTCCACTGCCAGTGGTCTCACAGACTCTCCAAGCCACAAAGTTGTCACCCACATTCAATGGCCTAGTTTGGTCCCATGCGGGTTTGCCTGCTATCAGTTTGGAGTCAGTGAGCTCCCACTAGCCCAGGTTAGGTGTTTCTGTGGTTATCCCCTTCATGGTCTTGACCTTTATTATTACTCCTCCCTCCCTTGGGCTGGTCTCCACCCTGAGCTATCCAAGCTTTAGCTGTTCATTCTTTCAATGATTACAGCTAGTTCTTAAATATTTTATTTCACATTCTCTATTAGTCTTTGAAAGTCTGGGCCTTCCTTCATCTTTAGCAGTATCTGTTTATTCTTCTTACTATAAAGCAGCATGATAAAACTGATTAGGCAGACCCCTCTTATCTTCATCTTGCCTACAGAACTATATGATTACTGTATCAAATCCTTAGAAAGTCTTTATTTCTATAAACAAAAATTATGGCTTGTTATTAAGTCAGATGGTGTGCTGTGGCCATATTTTCTCTCATTTGTACATCCCGACATATAATCATTCCTTTTCATGTTTGCTTTAGGGTCATCCTCCCCCTCACTTGATTTCAGTTCTTCTGTTGTCCCCACTGGAGCTCTCTGTCACCCTGCTGCTCTCTTTTTGGCTGACTTCTGTAACACAAATGTTCACCCCTATTCGGGGAAGTTCCTTCAAAATTCCCTGTATTTGGTTCACTGTTTTCTACCTTGCTATGACTTCTTTTCAGGCTACTGACTCCAGTGGGCTTTAAGCATGTGGTGGTACTGTTCTGAGAAGAGTGAATCAGAGACAAACTTCTTTTGCACCTCTGAGTATCTATACTTACAGTAATAATTAATACTTCGAAATGGGACAAAACGTTGGCTAAGAAATCACGTTCCCTGAAAACTCGGGAGACGTAGGGTCTCTGGATTTATTTCTTCCTAAGCTAGTGCTAAAATGCACAAAGCCATTATTAATTCTGCATCTTTTATTTTATTTATTTTCTCTCTGTAATCTTTTAAGATCTTTTATGTGTATCTGATCTCCAGAATATTCACTAGAATGTGAGGCCATGGAAAGCCACGGGTTCTCACTGTGTCCTGGTGAGCCTGCGGGTCTTTTCTGACAGTACTGTTTTAAATGCATGAGATAAAACATGTAAGAAGACAAGAAATGACAGTTGCAAAAAATATGCCCTCTATGAAATAACAGTCCACATAAGCCACAATATCAATATAAATCATCATTGAACAAGTTAAAGCGTGGAAGCGTGGAAGCGGAGATGCCGTGAACACTCCTGCTTTACTGTGGACTGCCTTAACTCACATCCTCCCACACACTGTCAGCCATGGGTAGATAGAGAACTCCCGAGCCCACATTCAGCCGGGGCCTCTGAACTTAGAAAATATGAGTTCCCTACTCGGAGGCTGAAGGCTCCTGAGTACCGGTTGCACAATTATTGCCGGGATCTGTCACTTGGATCAAGCTGGCCATCTTTTTTAAATATCCACTCGAGTCCTGATAATGGTGATGCAGACAGCTCTTCAGACTACCTGGCTGAACTGAATATAATGTGAAAACATCTCTCATCTTGCATCTGGTCAAAAGTCATAATCTGGCTAGTAGGTGTGTGCACGTGTGTGGCTGTTTAATTGATTCACAAGTCAGGCAATTTCTGTTAAATGCCTAAGAAAATAAGATATGAACATATTTTATTATCCATGCACATATATCCAGACCTCTAAATTCTCAGTCCCTTAAGATCATAGTGATCCCAAGTTTAAAACCTGGAAGGAGAGACTAATTTGCTTCTCCTCTAAGATTTTGTTTCAATTCTTATCAATTTCTCTGTCATTCTATTGTTCTTTTTAGACAGATGGTGGGTGTCTTAAGTAAATCATCTAACGTTGTCTTTTACTCTGGTTATCCTTGGGTTTTTCTATTTTCTGAGCAATTTCCTTCAGATGTACCTTTCATATTTTTAAATATTTTGTTGCAAATTAGCTTTCTATCCAAACCTATTTTTCCCTGCTCTAGATTTTAAATAGTCTTGAGTTTGCTGCCTGGATGCAATGCATCATATCTTGGTGAGAATTTGATAGTTTTTGTTTATTTCTTCCTTTCTTTTTACTTGGGAGGCTTTGTTTTATTATTTGGTTTCTAATTACTATTCTTTCCTCAACTCTCTTATCTCTGCTCATACTGTCATCAACGCTGGAAATCTGCAGAAGAATTGAAAGTGTGTTCATCGGGAACTGAAGCTGGTCCTGTGGTCTGGGCTTGGGGGACCCTGTCTGTCACATGATTGGCTGTGCTGCTACTTTATAAGCAAGCCAGTCTGTTCTTTCCAAGGGAGCCACCAAAGGCAAAAGTCAGTTTGTGAGCTTTGTTTGCCCAGACACCACCCCATCCCAAGAAAAGTTCATGTCTTAGAGACACAGGTTCGGAGCACACTGGGTTGGCAAGCCTTTATCTCCTGTCTTCTTCACACACATTCACCTAGCCTTGACTTCTCCCATCCTCCACTGCCCAGGCTGGGTCCGGCAAAGTCTGGCAAACTTGTTTGTATGTCCCCAGCATCTCCTATGGCTGCAAATGAATAATATGCTTCCATATGTCCCCAGCATCTCCTATGACTGCTAACATGTAATGCACTTCCATTTGGACACATCACCTGCAGTCCCTCTGCCTCTTTTTTAAGAAAGATTTATTTATTTATTATGTCTACAGTGTTCTGCCTCCATGTCAGAAGAGGGCACCAGCTCTCGTTATAGATGGTTGTGAGCCACCATGTGATTGCTAGGAACTGAACTCAGGACCTCTGGAAGAGCAGCCAGTACTCCTAACCTCTGAGCCATCTCTTCAGCCCCCTCGATCTCTTTCTAATCCTGTGAAGTGCCATTTGAAGGCTTGAATGCATCCTTCTGTCAAAGATGGAGGTGGCTTGGGTTTGTTTTATTTTGAATTTTTTCCCCTGAATTTTAGGAAAAAAAATATGTAGCAAATTCTTCATTCAGATTTCTTCAGGCTGTTTACATATTGACTAACTTAACTTCTGTCTTATTTGTTTGTTTTTATAGTATTCCAGTAGACTGAAATGTACAACCTTGGTATTTTATATGTATTGAATGGTTGAAGTAGCATAAACATATTTCTCAATGTTTAATGTCTCAGATTAATATGTTAAAATTATATCATTCTCAAATATAATACACAAGATATATGTTCATAACTCCTTTTTTTAATATGTGGAGTATTTTTAGTCTTTTCCTAAATACTGTGAGCACCTTCAGAATTAAATCACTCTTCAATAGAAAATACTTAGAAAACCTCACTTAGGGATCATCGAACAATCTAGACGTGATTTGCAGTGATCATACTGATTCTTTTCTCTTTTTAAGTATCTTCCAAGAAAGTCCAAGAAAGAGGCTCCCTTGTTTCTTACAGATATACAGTCTGCCAGAGATGAAGTTAATCAACCGCCCTCAAACTTTGGATCAGCTACTCGATGAACCGTGTGTGTGGGCTGGAGGTGATAAGGTTAATCAGAGCATCGAATACTTAAACAGACAGGAGAAGGGTGTCTACAAATTCGTGGAGGTAAGCAGTATTACCCATTAACGTGCTGAGCTATGATTTTTAGCTTTAATGAAGAGCTAAACTAGTAAAGAATTGCAAAGTCAGATCAAGGATATAAATCACTAGCAGATGTTATGTGTTATGGTTCTTGGATTCAATACAAGCATTGCAAAAAATGCATCTTGGAAAGTGTCCAGTCTAAGCACAGAGTGAATAACTGGCATTTTTTTAAAAAAATAAATTCTGGATTTTTGAAATAAGCTGTCACTAGGTAGCTCTGTCTGTCCTGGCACTCACTCTGTAGACCAGGCTGGCCTCAGACTCACAGAGTTCTGTAACAAGTCTTTCTCTGTCCTACAAGCCAGTCCCCAAATAAAGACACAGAGACTTACTATTGTGAATGCTCAGTCTTTGCTTTGGCTTGTCCCACTAGCTCTAATAACTTAATTTAACCTGCTTCTATTTGTCTACATTTGCCGTAGACTTTTTTTTTTTTTTTACATTTCTTTCTTTCTGTATGTTCTGCTTTTCTGCTTCCTCTGTGTCTAACTGGCTGGCCCCTGGCATCTCTTTCTCTTTCTTCTCCCTCCCCACCACTAAGTTCCTCTTCCTACTTTCTCTCCCTGCCTGGCTATTGACTAGTTAGCTTTTTATTAAACCAATCACAGTTACATATCTTTACACAATCTAATCAAATATCTCACAGCAGAGAGCTACCTGCCTCTGTATCCCAAGTTGATGTGGGATTCCCCTCCGTATGCTTATGTGGATATGTTTTGTTGCCATTGGTTAATAAAGAAGCCACTTTGGCCTATAGCAGGGAAGAATATAGCAAAGCAGAAAATCTGAGCAGAAGGTAGAGTTAGGCAGATACCATGTAAGCACCAAAGGAATAACATGCCAGCACCTGTAAGCCTCAGCCTAGTGACAATACACAGATTAATAAAAATGGGTTACTTTAAGATATAAGAGCTAGCTAGGAATATGCCTAAGCCATTGGCCAAACAGTGCAGCAATTAATATAGTTTTTATGTGATTATTTGGGTCTGAGTGGCTGAGAAAAGAATGTGCAGTCTCTGTTTACACCAAGTGCTAGGATTAAAAGCATGCACCACTGTACATGGCTGTGAATGACTTTTTAAAATAACAGGGCATGGTATCAGACAGAGGTCAGAACATATGCCTCACTATGAATTCTGTGTTCCTCACCACACACTCTAAAGAGTATGAAAAAACACAATTTGAATAGGAATTAACCTGTATCTGAATTAGTTACTATAATTTTTATACACATAGAGTGTCTTCAGAATTTTGAGATATTTTATATGATTAATAATGTTCTTTCCAGGACATAGGCTTAAAGGCGTTCACCAACTTGAAGATCAAACCTCGTACATTATGTTTTGAGCATAAACATTCTCATCTGTTGGCAGCAGGTAAAATAACAAGTCAACATGTATTTTCAGAATAAAATAAATGTGAATTATTTATCAAGGATGATAAAATTGTAGAGCATTATAGTATCCAAATAAGAGAGAAAGAAGCCAAACTTACCTGTGCAAAATGTGCCCAAATGTATGCTGATGCTAGGGGGAAGTTAAAAATCTGGGTTCTTCCTTCCTTGTTAAAGAGACAGATAAGACAAGATGCAATAGTTACTGTAATAGAGAATCGTTATGTGAAGTGTGAAGAACTTTTGTAGACATTTCATGAGAGGTGAAGAGAATTTCCTAAGTATTGCGGATGAAGAGGAGAAGGAAAAGACCAGGCACTGCAGACAGGGGTGAAGACAGCAAAACCAAAGCACATAAGCCGCAAGGTGCGCACTCCCCTGTTTTCAACCAAGGCTAGTCATTATAAACCCTTCCCCTCCGGTGCATCACCTCCAGAGTGGTGGCACCTGCTTTGCATTCCCAGCATCAGCCAATGACAGTTTCCCCGTTTCCCTATGTCCTCTCCGGTGTCCGTTGTTCTGTTGGCTAGTCTGACTGGGGTGAGATGAAATCTCCACGTTGTTTTAATTCAATTTCCTTAATGGCTAGCATGATGAGTGCTATCAAAGCTATTTCTTGGCCATTTTTATTTCTTTTGAAAACTGTGTTTAGATCCACAGTCCATTTTAAAATCGGGCTGTTTGTGTCAGATGTAAAGCTCCCACTCCGTGGGCTTCTGCTTCACTCAGCTGATGGTTTCCTTCGCTGTGCAGAAACGTTTTAGCTTTGTAAGGTCCCGTTCGTCAGTTATTGACCTTACCTTCTAATTGATGGATGCTCTGTGAAAGTCCCCTTCCTGCACATCCGTTTCACAGGGTTACTGCTCACATTTCTTCTCGAGCAGCTTCGGATTTCATGTTGAGGTCCTTGATCCATTTGGAGTTAATTTTTGTGCCGGGTCATTCACATAGGTCTATTTTCTTTCTTCTATATGTGAGCGTCCAGTTTTCACAGCATCGTGGTTAAAAATGCTGCCTTCCCTCTGTGTGTGTTTTGGCATCTATGTCAACTATCAGATAGCTGTAATTACACCAACTTATGTTTGGATCTTGTATTCTGTTCCATTAATCTGCATGTCTATTTTTGTGATAAAATAAAATTGTAGAGCATGTATAGTATCCAAAACCAGTACCATGCTGGTTTTATTACTATACCTCTGCAATATAACTTGAAATCTTGAATCTCCATCTTCATTATTATTTATATTCTAAATACTAAAATTTATTTTTACATGTGTGTTAACATAAATTAAAAATAATTCTCACTGGAAGGTATCAATTTCCCTATGCTGATTCAAAAAGAAATTGAATTTTCTTTCTAAAAGTTTCTAAAAGTAACAGGACCTAAGGCACTGGGACTACTCTAGACACTGGATAATTTGGGCAACTCCCTGGAGATGTTTAAGGTAATGAGTGAGGAACTTAGATACTAGAAATCCCTAAGTAATCAAAGGCAAATAGAAAGACAGGTTAGAGGTTGTAGCCGTCACAGAGAAGGACCTGTAGAAATGAAGCTATCTGTATGTATATTTATTTAAAAATGAGAGAGATTTTCAATGCTGAGATTCCATTGGGAAATATTTAGGTAAAGTCTTAACTGAGTCTGCATGTATACTTGTTCTTAGAAAAAGCAGAGCACATACTCTCTGCCCCTACCTTCAAACCTTTCATTTCTTGCCAGTGTAAACCCAAGCCAATGCTATGTTTCTTGAATAATTAACTTTCTTTGCATTGCCAATTCCCCCCACACACACACACACACACACAACCTTGATATGGACTTTTCCATTGTGTATATTTCTTTTTTTGTTGTTTTGTTTTGTTTTTTTCTAGACAGGGTTTCACTGCAGCTTTGGAGCCTGTCCTGGAGCTAGCTCTTGTAGACCAGGCTGACCTTGAACTCCCAGAGATCAGCCTGCCTCTGCCTCCCAAGTGCTGGGGTTAAAGGCGTGCGCCACCACCGCCCGGCTCCATTGTGTATATTTCTGATACAAGAGTTTGTACCTATACCTCCCTCAGTTTGTATATAAATCAAAACCTATTAAAATAATGGGTTAATCCTACAGATCTAGGATCTAGAGGGGAAAAAAGCATCCCAAGAAAGTCTCTGTTGATAATGTAGCTATCATTCAGCACTGGTCTGAAGTGATTCTCATTCTAGCCGTGGGATCTGTTGCCTGGGAGTTTGTATTTATTGCTCTTCGTTGCTGCTAGGGGGAACATTATATCTGTAAGCATTCCCTGACTATCCAACCCAAGAAAATATGCACTGTGCTTCCTTCCAACTCCAACTGCACTAGGATGTTTTCTCCAAGATTTCAGAGTTTCTACTTTTGACAAAGATGTTGCCCAGCCTCCACCAAAGTGAGTGGTTCCATGTATCATATCCAGAGTTGTTACAGTAGCATGTAACAGTCAAGATGAAACTGAAAACTAAGCTATGTTTACCTTGCACACTGTGTCCCATTGTACCCCACTATACTCAGCACTGTGTTCATCTCCTTCACTGTAACTTCATAGTGCCTCTTGCCATGTATAAGAGTGTGGCTGTCCCAAGAGAACCCAAGCATAAGGCAAAACTTAAAAATCCACCTCGTGAGGATCCACCTCGCAAAGATCCACCTCGTGAAGATCCACTTACCGAGACCATTCGAAAATACTTTCCTGAAACCTGGATCTGGGATTTAGTCACAGTAAAGTAAGTGATTTCCATTTGTAGGATTTGGACTGGGCATAAAAAAAAATATGTCTTTATTTTCTAGTATTTCTCTAAGTAATCTCATTCATAAACAAAGGAAATCACTAATTTAGAAGATCATAGCATATCAACCCATCAATTATAAAATATATGTATTTCCATCACTCCCAAAAAAATCACATAAAAATTATCATGTACCTTTCTGATCCTTAAAACCATTCAGGAACATACTGAGTAGTAAGTAGGGCAGTCCTACATGGAGTAGACTTCTAGACGGCTATGTGGAGACGACCACATAGGTCATAAACTTGTTATATGGTATTTTGGAGATGGGTGTTCAGAGACAACTTTGAATCTGTGTTCAAATTTCCACTAACATCCAGACTTTGAGGTGTCAGGAAGCCAATAATTGAGCTGGGAAAACAAGACTACAGAAAGATTTCATTTCTCCATGTGGAGTCCTGTTCACGCTGTGCTCTTCCCATCATTCCTTTGAAGGACTCAAAGAGGTGGCTTTGGTTCACACTCACTGGTGATGGCGTTAGGTCACACTCGTTGGGCGCCATCTCAGAAATAACTAATTCACACGCGCACTTTCTGAGCTTCACACTCTCACCCTCCCAGCTCATCAGGAGTAGCTGACCTGGAAGTGACTGTCCCTGACACCATCACTGAGTGGAAGGCCGGAGCCCTCTGCCTGTCCAGTGACACTGGACTTGGCCTCTCTCCTGTGGTGTCTTTCCAAGCCTTCCAGCCCTTCTTCGTGGAGCTCACGATGCCCTACTCTGTGGTCCGTGGAGAAGCCTTCACGCTCAAGGCCACCGTGCTGAACTACCTCCAAAAGTGCATCCGGGTGAAGACCTTTCCAAATTAAGTATGACCAGAAAGAAAGAGGGAAATGAGTGTGTGTAAGTTTTAACTAAGAATTAAATGGAAAGAAATAAAGAGAGGAAGGGATTGTATTAGACCCATCAGTACCGATTCCTAATACTTAAAAAATTCTCAGACTCTAGTTACGTATATACAGCAAAGAGCTGTTTAACAATATGGACACCACATAAAGTGTATTAGGTGATTTGGACACTACGTACATACAGACTGACAGACACAGTCTGACAACAGACTGACACTGGATATTCCATGTGGCTTCTGGATACAATCAAAAGATATGGTCCACATAGTTATAGTAGGCTGTTGTCAGGATAAAATGGCGTATTGTTCTATAGCGGATTTTTTCACTAGAGCTAGACATGTACTTTAATATCGTAGTTAAAAATCTAGTACAGTAAATACATATTTGCCATCAAAATAAAACAAATATGAATAGAGAAATATATAATCATCTCTCTAATTATTTGTGTAGATGATAGCTCATCACGTATGTGCATCTGAAATCTATGCAAGCGTTCTGTGTCAGCATATGTGACATTTAAGGCACATGTGTTCCACTACCACGCTCCACAGTCTTTCACCTACCTCTACCCACACATAATACGTTGTCCCTCTATGGTGACATCTTTGCTCTTTCTTTGCCCATGTGGGCCCACAGGTGGGTGTGCTGCTGGAAGACTCCCCCGATTTTACAGCTGTCCCAGTGGCAAAAGACCAAGATTCTCACTGCCTCTGTGCCAATGGGAGGCACACCACTTCCTGGTTGGTAACTCCCAAATCATTAGGTGAGTAAGAACCCCGTAAGGGGACTCCATGCAGAAAAGGTGAACGCAGGAAAGGTTCTTAAGTTTCTTTCTTCTCACGGGGCCCCCAAGCTCACCACCTTCTTAAATACAGGACAAGCCCTCGACCTGCTCATAGCCGTGAGGATGCTTTGCAGCTCTTGGGGTTTGGAAGGTGCCAAGTTCCGGGCACAACTGAGCTCAGCTCTGTGTGTGTTTCAGGGAATGTGAACTTCTCCGTGACTGCGGAAGCGCGACAGTCCCCAGAGCCTTGTGGTTCCGAGGTGGCCACAGTTCCTGAAACTGGGAGAAAGGACACGGTTGTCAAAGTCTTAATAGTTGAGGTGAGTAATGTCCCTTGACTGGAGTGTGCTGAGACTGGAGCAGTGTTGATTGTGTTTAGATGAAAAACAAAAGATGATAGCACGTGACCTTGAGATAGCTCATAGCGAGCGGCAAGCTCACGCTTTCAGATCACTGGGTTCTGCCTTCCTCCCCTCCTACTCCCTTGACTGGAGCTCAGAGGGATGGGTTATCTTCTTAAGCTCCACCTCTTTCTCTGCTCCTATTATGCCGTCCCTTTTGTCTTTATTATCGTTCCTTATTGCCTTCTTTTTAATCTGGTAGGTCCACATCCTCAAACGTTTATGCCAGTCCTGATATGGTGGAAAATTAGACCATCTAATTCAGCACTAGCCCCGAAAGTAAAGAAGTTGTTCACATACTCTCACACACGCGTGTGCACACACACACAACAATGTCTCCAGCATCTTTGTGTTTACACACTCAGTAATTCTCACGTCTGAACTTTCTATCTTTTTGTCCAAGCCCGAAGGAATTAAGAAAGAACATACCTTCAGTTCACTGCTCTGTGCATCAGGTGAGAATCCTTCAAAACAGCAATAAGATAATAGCTTATATCATCTACTTACATCTCTTGAAATATTCCTATAAGAAAACCAGGATAGTTGAGTAGCTTGGTATATTTGTGGGGCCCCTAGCAGAGGGATCGGGACCTATCCATGGCACATGAGCTGCCTTTTTGGAAGTTCCCCAGGCTGGGATGCCTCGCCCAGTCTTGATGCCAGGGGAGGAACCTGGCCCTGCTTCAACTTGACATGCCATGCTTTCTTGACTCTCATGGAAGGCCTGCCCCTTTCTGAACAGATGGAGGGTGATTGGGAGGTGGGGGGAAGGAATGGAAAGAGAGGAGGGAGGGGAAACTGTGGCTGGTATGTAAAATAAACAAAAAAATTAATAATAAAAAAGAAAACTAGGATGCTGTATATCTTATAACCACTAAAAAAAAAATAACCAAATTCAGGGGTGCTGGAGAGATGGCTCAGTGGTTAAGAGCACTGACTGCTCTTCCAGAGGTCCTGAGTTCAATTCCCAGCAACCACATGGTGGCTCACAGCCATCTATAATGAGATCTGGTACCCTCTTCTGGCATACATGGAAGGAAGGCTGTATACATAATAAATAAATAAATCAAAAAAAAACCCTCAGTTACATAAATTATCAAGATCTTTACTTACCTGATGCAGCTGTCAGGAGTGCAGTCATAGTTCTGCCGGGGACTTCAGAGTTCACTGTAGCCCCTTTCTTTGGAACACAGAAACCTTCTCGTCCAGTCTGTCTCAATACTTAGAAAGCTATAGCTAGGGAATAGCTAAGAAGAGGTCATAACCAAAAATTTCCTAATAAAAAGAAAAATGCAGAAAATATCTTGGGAAGGACCATATTTGTATTGTATTAGATCATAAGTAAAAATAATTATTTTTATATCTGAATAAATTCCATACATTAGCCTAGCTAAATCATGATATGTAGTAAACACTAAACATAATATTTTTCTCTAGTGGTTGTGTTTATGGCTTGTTCTTGCATCTGTGCTCCTCACTGGGCATATTATTGCAAAGAAATATAGTAATGTATCTCACAAGGGAAGCTCTCTGTTTCCTATGAGGGACCAGCATGAAGGCAGAGGCTGCCCACTCACAATAACGACTACTCTGCCAGCCCCTGCACTATTGAGTGGTGTAGTGCTTCCTCAAAATATGTCTGTCAAAAGAATAAAGAAATTGGAATAATAGTTTTAATTTAATGTAAAATCCATTATTGTATGAAAGTTAGCAAAAGAGATGAAATAGAGCAAACGCCTTTGTAAAGGGGATGCCCTCATGTGAGGGCTACTAATAGAGTGTGTAGAGGGGACTCATCACACAGTGCTAACCCCTTTAAATGGTTTCCATGAAAGGACATATGTGAAGGGGCTCACTGGAGACTGATTTTGTTTTTAAGCCAAGGACATGATAAGAAAAACTCTATTCTTCCCATTGATCTATTCTGGTTCTCCTGATATTTATTTATTACAAGGTAACCTGGCCATCACCCCTGCCATAGAGAAGCCCTCCAGGGCAACAGCATGGGAGTGACCAGTGAAACTGCCCAAGGCAGCTCAGGGGGACCCAGGAAAAGCAAAAGACAGCTCAGAGTTAGTTCATCCACTCTCTTATGCTGGCACACTGGGTTTTTATCCATACACTGCCTTATTTCAGGTTTTCATAGCTGCCATAAAACACCATGACCAAAAGCGACTCGGAGAGGAGTGGTTTATTCCACTGTATACGTTCACAGTCCTTCCTAAAGGGAAGGCGGGGACTGAGCCAGAGGCTGTGGGGAAGCGCTGTTTTCCCTGACTTACTCAGTTTGCTTTCTCACATACCCGACAGAACCACCCGCTCTGAGGTGTGGAGGCACCACTCACCCTGGGCTAGGCCCTGCCACATCAATCACTACAAATGAAAACTCCCCAAGTCTTGCCTATAGACCAATTTTATGGAGACATTTTCTCAAATGAGGTTCCCTGTTGCCAGAAAACACTAATGTCAAAGTTCACACACAAAACAAAACAAAAAACTCTAGGAAGACAATACCTACATCAAAATTCAATCAAGAAACACGTTTTCATGTGTCTATTTAAAAATTGGGTAATTAGTAATTAGTAGGAGACTCAGAAATTCCTTTTGGAGATGCTTTTCTTCAATATGACTGGTGATGAAGGCAGAAGCAATAGAGCTTGGCAAGCCAGGAGTACCAGGAAATGTGGATTTGTAGTATTTACAAGATCATTTCTCTAGGGAGGCAAGAAGTCAAAGCTTAAGACACAGTTCTAAAGTGACTGTCTTAGGGGACTTTAGAAATGAGGAAAACAGAGGTAAACCATCTACCCGTTTGTTTTGCTTATTCTAAGATGCTGGGATATCTGAAAAAGTGTCTCTGGTGCTCCCACCAGCGGTAGTGAACGACTCAGCCAGAGCACACTTCTCCGTGCTGGGTGAGTCATCCCATCCCCGGAGGACTGGGGACAAGAGTCACTACCTGTCCCCACAGAGATTCCAAATGTAATTTCAGGAATACGACACGTAAACTCTTTGACATCTTCTGTCTCTATCTCCTCAATACCCACTGGGTTCCTAGCACACCTCACCCTTAAAATTCCTTCATATCATTGAGAAATAAGTCCATTAAAAACGTTATTTTGTTCTTGAAGATAATGACTGTTCTAATATTACATCTCTCTCTCCCAGGTGATATCTTAAGTTCAGCCATAAGAAACACACAGAATCTCCTCCGCATGCCCTTTGGCTGTGGGGAGCAGAACATGGCCCTTTTTGCTCCTAACATCTACGTACTGAAATATCTGAATGAGACCCAACAGCTGACTGAGAAGATCAAATCAGAGGCCATTGAGTACCTCAGTGCTGGTCAGTACATCAGTCAAAAACTTCACTTTGATCTTGGGCACAGTCTCTCTAGAAATGGGCTAAGGATCGGACAGGGGAAACTGAGCTGTGTTCTCATTGGTCAGTCCTATAAGCCAGCATATATGAGGGCCTCTCCGGCTTCAGACCTACATCCTGTCATTCTCTGAGGCCTCAGTTCCTTCAAAACCCACTCAAAGTCTTCTGTTCCAGGCTATCAGAGGCAGCTGAACTACAAAAACAAAGACGGCTCCTACAGTGCCTTTTGGGATCAAGGTGGCCAAGGAAACACTTGGTAAGAAAAGTACACTCTGTGTCAGGCCTTGTTCAACTCTTGTTCCTCATGGCAACTACACATGCATCTTCTTTCATGGAGCTATAACCGATGCCTGGGCCTGTGAGGGACATGTCTGAGGTAGCCTGAATCGTAAGTATAGAACCGAAGCTGTCTCAGGGCTCATCTGCCTTGACCCTGTACCACCTGCTCTACTCAATTCAGTAAGCTGGCTTTTTTCACTTCTCCCCAAGATCTTTCACCCGTCAATACCCGACTACATATTGCTGAGCATCCAAAGACACTCATAACCAAGACTTGAAAAGTTTTCACCCTTCTTTATGTAGCCTTGCTTTACATCAGAATGTATTATTGAGATAAAACATGCAGACAACCAACAGGTGACAAATGACATAGAGACTGGTAGAAACAGGAAGTAAGTCAAGGAGAGGGATGTCATTTCTGAGGCAGGAAACATGTGGCAGGGGTTTCAAGAGAGAAAATTTTCTTACCTACAGAAGAAAATCACCGGGAGGCTGGGGAAAGGCTAAGATGAGGGTGCAGGTGTTAAGGAAGCATCAGAGGGAGCGAGGGAGCAGCCATGAAAAAAGCAAAGCGGGAAACAGCTGAACCATACTGTAGTGTCCACATCCAAGAGGGCCAGGGATGGAAGACTACTTCAGAATAGCAAGAGGCACTGCCCAGCTTCATGAACTCAGAGAGCCTTAGACTGATTAAACACCAGTGTGGTCCAGACCCCGGGAAACCCTTGTGTGAAGGTGCTGCATCAGAACAAAAGCCTTCATCTCCCCACTCGCCCTCTCCAATCAGGCTCACAGCCTTCGTGCTCAAGTCTTTCACCCAGGCTCGAGCCTTCATCTTCATCGATGAAACACACATCACCCATGCCTTCACCTGGCTCTCCAAGCAACAGCAGGACAATGGCTGTTTCAGGAGCTCCGGGTCGCTGTTCAACAATGCCATGAAGGTGACCTATTCTGAACTACTTATAATCATGGTGACCTAATAATAACGTTTGAAAGTCAGGCCATACTACTTAGCGCTGGGACGAAGAAGCCTCTAGGTTTGGAATATACTTTCTCTTAATGAGGCTATAAATGAAATTTTCTGTTGAATACAGAGGGGAAGACATCTTTGAAGAATTGCTTGCTGTGTATTTTACTTATTTCACTCCTTTTTGTTTGCAGGGCGGAGTAGAAGATGAAGTGACCCTCTCTGCCTATATAACCATTGCTCTTCTGGAGAGTTCACTCAAAGACACGGTAGGTGTCATATGGCTTCTCCAGCTTTCCAAAAGGCTGTAAAGCCTATGGCTTCCTATGTAGACAGAGGTTTTGTTTGTTTTCTAGGCCACCAAGACCTGAAATAATCACACAGAAACTATACTAATTGCATAATAGCTGAAGCGTATTTCTAGCTAGCTCCTACATCTTAAATTAACCCATTTCTATTTATCTGCGTATCACCACATGGCTGTAGCCTACTGGTAAGGTTCCAACTGGTGTCTGTCCCATTCAGGGGCTACACAGCATCTCTCTGACTCTGCCTTATTTTCTCCTCTAGCTCTGCTTGAAATTCCCACCTTGCTCTATTCTGTGCTTCCATTAACTTCTTTATTAACCAATGGTAATAAAATATATCCACAGCATACAAAGGATAATCCTATATCATTCCTACCCCATCTGAAGCCAAGTGGCAGCTTTCTTTTCTACAATCGTTTTGTATTTTTAAGTTTCCATTAATGATCATCTACCTGCTTCATGAAATCCTGGATATGTTCCAAAAATCAAGCCAAAACCACAGCCTCTAATACTGTCCCCTTTAGTCTCTATTTAAGTGGAATATAGTTTATAAAAATGAATTGGTGTGGGAGGCCCTTCTGTATTTGTGTTGCTTTCATTGGTTATTAAAGAAACTGCCTTGGCCTAGTTGATAGGGTGGAACTCAGGTAGGCGGGAAAGACAGAACAGAATTCTGAGAGGAAGAAAGCAGAGACGGCCAGACGCCATGAATCTCTGACCCGAGACGAACGTAGGTTAGAATCTTGCTGGTAAGCCACAGTTACACGGTGATACACAGATTTAATAGAAATGGGCTAATCAAAATGTGAGAGTTAGCCAATAAGAGGCTAGAGCTAATGGACCAGGTAATAATTTAATTAATACAATTTCTGTGTGATTATTTTGGGTGTAAGGTAGCCGGGCGGGATGGAACAAGGGACCCCACACTCCTACAACAATGAATGACTCCTAAAAGATAAAGAATAGAAAGAAAGAAGATCCGTGACAGGAGATAGGAAAGAAGGAAAAGAGGGAGAGAGGAAGTGAGGGAGAAAGGAGAGGAGAGGGAATGGAAGGATGGATTTGAAAAGCGTAAATGTCTATATCCTCCCTGTCTGCTCCAGGGCCTACTAGGACCGTTTATCACATTGCTCATGTGTTGTTGTTCTGCCAACAGCGTCCTGTTGTCTCCAAAGCCATGACCTGCCTGGAGACAGCCTGGAAGACAATAGAGCAAGGGGGAAATGGCAGCTTCGTGTACATCAAGGCACTCCTGGCCTATGCTTTTGCTCTGGCAGGGAGCCAGGATAAGAGAAATGAAATCCTGAAATCACTTGATAATGAAGCTATAAAAGAAGGTAAGGGTGTGTGTTATCATGTTCGTTTCCATCCAGTTCCATTGGAGGGAAACAGGAGTATACGGAGTGTGGAAATAGTATTACAGTTTAGTTCCATCTCTATAGCACACCGAGGTTTCTCCTCAGACTGACCCATAAGGAAATTAGTCTTTCTTCTGTACACAAACGGCTTCTCTTCAGTACTTTCCCATAGAGTGATCCAAATCAACACATGTAGTATCACTTTAGAATGTATATAGTTCCAACTACCATTACAAAGGTAAATGTAGCTAATACTCAACTGTTCTCTCTGATACACATATACCCAATTAGGAGGAGCAAAGATAGGAAGAAGACAAAAAAGGAAATTATGCTTCAAGGTTTTGCTGTTTCAGCTGCAATTCTGAAACCAACAGGAAACTTCCCTAAGTCATTTGGACTGAACACTGACCAAGTGATGTTCTGTTGGGTGTGAGGGAGTTAATGAGGGAAAGACTCATGTCTGCTATTGTCTTCTCGCCAACTCTGCTAGAGCAGCATTGACGATGTAGTTTAATCAATACCTTAGGAATCTCTGTCTAGATAATTTTCTCAATCGCACCCTATCACACCAACTGCAGGTTTTTACTGGGGATTAATAAATCTGGGGATATGGTGAGTGAAGATTTTAAAACCTGCTACACCCTTTTATATTTCCTTCTTTCTATAGATAGACATACAGTCATTCCTTGACTACTCACACTTTGTTATTTCTCTATTTTTACCCTAAGACAACTCCATCCATTGGGAAAGACCTCAGAAACCCAGAAAGTCAAAGAGCTATCTGTACGAGCCGCAGGCTCCCTCTGCTGAAGTGGAGATGAACGCCTACGTCCTCCTCACTCTCCTCACTGCCCAGCCAGCCCCAAGCCCTGAGGACCTGACTTTGGCAACGCTCATTGTGAGGTGGCTCACAAAGCAGCAGAATTCCCATGGCGGCTTCTCTTCCACACAGGTTGGTGACTTTCTTCAGAGTCCCCATGCAGTGAGGGGATTGGAACAAGAAATGCAGGAACAATCAAAAGGAAAAGGAGAACAAAAAATAATGACGTTACTCTTTCATATTTTGGGTCTGTGGGAAGTTGGGGATGATATATCCCATAATAAACTTTCCTAGTTCCTGTGTTTCAACACAAGATTTCTCTTCATACCACATGTAGTGAAACAGACCTACACTGACAACCTCTAACCCAGACCCAAACCTTGATAGCAAATAGTGGGGAAAACCCTGGAATGTCCAGATTCCTAGACATAATCCCTCACCCTAGAACAGCACGTGGAGTACCTAAGAGATGCTATTTGGACCAAACAGACATCTTTATCATCTTGCTGCCCTGAGGAGTGGCCGTTTCCTTTTTCCTGACAGACTCTCCTAATCTTATGTATGGAGAGATTGGCCTCGGTTTTCCCCAACCTAGTAGGAGCTCCTGATGCCCACTTTAACTTCTTGACAGTTGGAAATAATCAAGACTGTAAGCCATGTGCTTTATCAACTAGTTAGTATGATTCTCATGAGGTAGTATTTTCCAAAAAAATACACATCTACCAAAATATCTATAGATTATTCTCTGGGTATCTGGGGCATAGGTGGCAGAATTTATCTCCATAGAAGTACAGTAAGAGGACTGGCTCCTCTAAAGTAGAAATAAAATTCCACAACACTAGCAACCCTGCTTGGCAATCCAATTATTCCGCTTTCATTCAATAGGCAGTCTGCATTGTAATATTAAAACCCTCGCCACGCGTTTCTGTTCTCCTGTTGGGCTGTACAATCAGGAGCGCATCCGGAGCTGACTTGGGATAAGGAGGGAGCCTGTGGGAGAGATCCTCTCTAGAGCATGAAGTGCATCCCCATTGGGTATGCCACCGAGGAGCAAGGCGACAAAGGACAACACTAAGTTGTAGTTGTTTCTTTTATTTGATAAGATTGAATCGCGGCTAGCCCTTGGTCATGATGTTGGTGTCTCGGGATTGTTCATCAAGTGCAGAAGAAAGTTTAGTAATGAGAGCAGGAATGCAATGTTGGGTATCATCATGGGCATGGGGACAGAGGAGGAAACCAGCAAATGCTGGGAGAAAAATCTAATTTGTATTTATATTTTGTACTGGCTAGACAGGAATCTGCATTTGCCAGGGCACTCTGTTTAAGGAGGGAAATTATGTGAATGTCTTTGATTCTCAAATATTTCCTAAAGTCTAGAGATCGAATAACTGGAGACAAAACCTTTTGTCACAGATTCAGGAAGAACCCTAACCCTTCCACACTGATGCTACCCTGAACTTTTTCACTCATCCCTCACAGGACACCGTGGTGGCTCTCCATGCTTTGTCCATGTACGGAGCAGCGACTTTTACCAGAAGTCAGAAAACTCCTTTGGTGACCATCCAGTCTTCAGGGACATTTTCCAGAAAGTTCCAAGTAAAGAACAGTAACCGCCTGTTACTGCAGCAAGTCTCACTACCAGACATCCCTGGGAACTATGACATCAACGTATCAGGGGAAGGATGTGTGCACACTCAGGTAAAATTCTGGGGAAGTTGTGGGTATGTAGCTGTGAGCCTGCTTCCCCCAAACGGAAAGTCTCCCTTTGTTTACCTGCACACATTATGCTCAAACTGGGAGAAATCAGTCCAAGGACCCAGTGCAATGGAGGTAAAGTATTTCTATCCACTACTTATCAGACAACGCTGAAATACAACGTGCACTTGGAGAAACAGGAGTCTGCATTCGCTCTGCGGGTACAGACAGTACCTCTGACCTGTGATAACCCCAAAGGCCACAACAGCTTCCAGATCTCACTAGAAATCAGGTATGAGTCTCTCTCTCTCTCTCTCTCTCTCTCTCTCTCTCTCTCTCTCTCTCCTATTACTGTGTTGTCTTCCTAGAATGGGTTCAAGAAATATCTAAAGCAAGTTTCTTTATTAAGATTTTGTTTTGTTGGGGCTGGAGAAATCGTTCAGAGGTTAAGAACACTGACTGCTCTTCCAGAGGTTCTGAGTTCAATTCCCAGCAACCACATGGTAGCTCACAACCAACTATAATTCAATCTGGTGACCTCTTCTGGCCCGCAGGCAGAACACTGTATACATAAGAAATAAATCTAAAAACAAAAAGAAAAGAAAAAGATTTTGCTTTGTCTATAAAAAAAATTCTTGACTTCAGCAAAGTGAACAATGGAAGATTATAGAATCATAATCTCTAATCAGTCTACTTTAGGGGTTCCTTTCTCACCTGCTATCATAGTAAAATAGATAGGTAAAGTGGACTATTCTTCACCAGCAAAGCCAAGCCTTCCTGGTCTTTTAAGATTCCATTTTTCTAGAGGGGAAAAAGATATTCTATTCTTCTGGACACTTGTCAAAAGCTTCATATAAAATACAACCAGCAGTGGGGGCTAACTGCAAAAACTGAAGGTCTCTTGAATGGAAAGAAGACATCCACCGTGTGTCCCATCATCTTGTTCTCCACAGTGTGGCAAGTGTCGTTGGTCTTATCACTCTTTGGAGCCTGCCACTCAGCTCCCAAATAAATACGTTGAGACTTATTTTATGAATGCCCAGCCTTAGCCTTGTTTCTAGCCAGCTTTTCTAACTTACATTATCCTGTTTCTCTTCAACTACCTTTTGCCCCTGGACTTTTTACTTTTTACTTTTCTTTTTACTTTTTACTTTTCTTTATTCTTTATATCTTCTTACTCCATGGCTGGGTGTGTAGCAGATAGCTGGCCCCTGGCATCCTCCTCTTCACCTTTTCTCCATCCTTGCTCTTCTTGTGAAGCCTAGATTTCTTCTCCTATTTATTCTCTCTGCCTGGGAGCCCTGCCTATCCCTCTCTCCTGCCTAACTCTTGGCCATTCAGCTCTTTATTAGATCAATCAAGTGTTTTAGGCAGGCAAAATAACACATCTTTACAGAGTTGTTAAACAAATGCAACATAAAAGAATGCAACACAGCCGGGCGGTGGTGGCTCACGCCTTTAATCCCAGCACTCGGGAGGCAGAGGCAGGCGGATCTCTGTGAGTTCGAGACCAGCCTGGTCTACAGAGCTAGTTCCAGGACAGGCTCCAAATCCACAGAGAAACCCTGTCTCGAAAAACCAAAAAAAAAAAAATCATTAAACAAATATTCCACAACAGTGGTGTGTGTCTGTGTGTGTGTGTGAAACAGAGAGAGAGAGAGAGAGAGAGAGAGAGAGAGAGAGAGAGAGAGAGAGAGAGAAAATGAATATGTTGGACGCTTGGTCATTTCCAGCTGCTCAGCCCCAAAATAATCACACAGAAACTATATTATTTAAATCACTGCTTGGCCTGTTAGCTCCAGATTCTTATTGGCTAACTCTTACATATTAATTTAACCCATTTATATTAATCTGTGTATCACCACATGGCTGTGGCTTACTGGGTAAAGTTCCATCCAGCGTCTGTCTCCAGAGGGGGCTACAAGGCTTCTCTCTGACTCTGCCTCCTTTCTCCCAGCATTCAGTTTAGTCAGTTACTTTATTAACCAATAGTATTTACAGCATATGAAGGGGAATCCTACAAGAGAGAGATAGAGACAGAGAGGACAACATCAATCATCAGTCCTCAGATTCCATACATACCAGCTTTTTGAGATAAGGTCTTTTACTGACCTGAGACTTGTTAAGCAGACTATGCTGACTGGCCAGCAAGCCCCATGGATTCATCTATTTTTAATGAACTCTCCAGATGTCATTGTTATACATTCTATTTTCAGAACTATTTATATTGACAGTGAAGCTCACGTACTTTGAGGTATAGAAAAAAAATCACACAGGGCCTATCAGGAATTAGTGCTGGACCTCAATGGAGAAAAGATTCAAAGTATTAAAGTCACTTCTTGGGCTGGAGAGATGGCTCAGTGGTTAAGAGCATTGCCTGCTCTTCCAAAGGCTCTGAGTTCAATTCCCAGCAACCACATGGTGGCTCACAACCATCTGTAATGAGGTCTGGTGCCCTCTTCTGGCCTGCAGACATACATACAGATAGACTATTGTATACATAATAAATAAATATTTAAAAAAAAATAAAGTCACTTCTTCATCCACTTCCCTGGTCTGCAGTTACACAGGGAGCCGCCCAGCCTCCAACATGGTGATTGTTGATGTGAAGATGGTATCTGGTTTCATTCCATTGAAAGCAACAGTGAAAAAGGTAGGTAAACCAGATGTTTGGATTTTCTGTCTCCTCAGACCAGGAGCATGCCAACATGATTGCAATAATGCCAATTTGCATCAAAGCAGCATTAGTACTAACCTAACAAAATTGGATTTTTAGGATTGTAAGTATAGGTGACGACTGTGGTAGAGGCCAGCAGGAGAAATATAAGAAAGTGCCTGAGTTCACTGAGTCCACAGTCTAGCTAATAATAATTTTTTAAAGTGTAATCAACCTGGTCAATAATGATTCAGGGGAAATATTATTAAATACCAAAATTATAGATGTGGTGCTTTAAGAACTATAAAAATTAACAACAAACTAAGATGAACAGCAGAGTACAGAGAAAGATATTTGCACAGAGATGAGATTAGTTAGTACTATCAAATGCAGGACTACCTCACCTTCAAACAAAAGTCAAAAATACCCATCACTAAGTCAGGTCTCTGGTAGAGCAGCCTTCACAATTTCCTGAATATATCTTCATCCTCTAATTCATTTAAATGAGTTGGTAACATTACCTTTCTATCACCTTCAATCCCACAGTGCATTTGCCTTTTCTCCCCCTAAGGCTTTTGCTTTTTCCGTGACACAGATATTTTATCTCATTTTCAGCTTGAAAGATCAGAGCACGTGAGCAGAACAGAAGTGAGCACCAGCAATGCCTTGATCTATGTGGATCAGGTGAGGGTCCCTCCTGCCTCCCCAGACATGTATAGGTGCCCAGCCCTTGATCTATGTGGATCAGGTGAGGGTTCCTCCTGCCTCCCCAGACATGTATAAGTGCACAGCCCTTGATCTATGTGGATCAGGTGAGGGTCCTTCCTGCCTCCCCAGACATGTCTTTGTGGGAGACATAAGGCAGGAGAAAAACAATTCTAGGGGAAGCCTTTTGGAGAGACACCTTCCCTCTGTTCATACTAGGTGATATTTTAAATTCTCTTTCCCTGGCCTGGAGATGTGGCTCAGCAGTTAAGAGCACTTACTGTTCTTGCAGAGGACCAGAGTTCAGTTCCCAGAGTCCACACCAACTCACAACTGCCTGTAACCCCAGTTCCAGTGGATCTGATGCCCTGTTTTGGCCACCACTGATATATACATGCACACAGAGACACACTAATAATGATAATAATAACAATAAAAAGACCACTAATAATAATTTAAGAGTAATTTTTAAATTCTCTTTTCTCATTGCTGGACATCCTGGGACTTATCATAGGGTCCCGAGTGTCCTATATCGCACATTAAGGAGGAATATGGATTTTTGAAATAGTTTAATAGACTAGGAAAGCCTGACATACTCCCAGGAGCCTCTGCTTCAGTTCCTCAGGACCCTACTCTAAAACCCACATCAGCATCCACACATGTGAGCAGTGACTGTGAGTTAAATGCTACCCAACGCATAAGCTGCTTCTCAGAATCCAAAACCTGAAGGAGAACAGCGGCCACCTCAGAGATTCTGGACTTATTTCTCTCTCTTGGCCAGGTGACCAATCAGACACTGACCTTCTCCTTCGTCATTCAACAAGACATCCCAGTAATGAACCTGCAGCCTGCCATTGTCAAAGTCTACGACTACTATGAGACAGGTGAGCAAGAGATCAGGAAGGACCCTAAGGCAACTTGAGTTCTTTATGACAGCTTCTCACTATCTAACCCACGCTGGCCTCAAACTCTCAAACCTCCTGACTCCGCCTCCCAAATGCTGATTACAGACATACACCATCACACCCAGTTTTTAAAATAATTACTTTTGAGACAGTGACACATTATATAGGCCAGACTGGCCAAGTCAGCTCTTAATAAAAGAATATGAGTATGACAAATATTTATAAGATTTCAACTTATTTGACCACCAAACAATCATGCAGGACCAAACAGGTCCATGTAACCCAAGGGACCAAACGTTTTGCCAAGAAGTGTCTATAGGTTAAAAGATAGACAAATCTTCTTCTGAATATAGCAATGCAGCAATGAAGAATCATACAAATAATTATAGTAGGAATAAAAGGATGAGAGAGAATTATAGCCTGAGTGGTCACTGATGACCAAAGAGAGAGAGCGCAAAGCCAGAGCTGGGGAATTAAATGGGGGTTTTCTATGACAGATGTTTCAGATTAGAAGAGATCAAGAAACAATGAAGGAAAAAATATCAGAAATATAGGAAGTCATGTGAGAGGCTACAGGTCTACACGTCACTCCCAGTCCTCTGGTCAAACACTGTAGGATAAGCACACTTCGATTTCCTCCGCAGGGTAATTTACTCTGGGGGTGTTTGCACATTTCTTTATTTATTTCATGAGAGGGAGGCGTGTCACGGTGCCTCTGGAGGTCAGAGGGCAATTTGGGGGAAGGGGCTCTCGCCTTCTGCCATGTGGATCCTAAGGACGGAACTCACTGTGATCATCAGGCATGGCAACAAGTGCCTTTTCCAGACCCAGGAAAAAGGTGTCAACCAGTGGCTTCAAGGGGAGAAATTCCTCTGCTTAGTTTGTCTGATGTCCCCAGAGAGAAGACTTTTCAGTAGTCATCCAGGCCCTGAATGAGAAAATTGGCCAGTCCTAAAACGTCAACTGCGCTCCACAAAACCCTCTCGCATCAAAACTCCCCTTCTCAATTTTTCTCCCTGTCTTTCAGATGAAATGGCTTTCGCTGAATACAGCGCCCCCTGCAGCTCAGGTAAGCACCTAGCACTCCTTGCGGCAAGCCTTCCTCTGACCTCTTCCCCTCCAAAACTACCCAGAATTTTTGTTAGATTAGCTCAGGCCTCTCCCACGGTATGAAAACACAGAAACGTGAACCTTGGGATGGGCACACTGCCCTGGGAAGACTACTCTAGCTTCCTTGCTAAAGTGTACCGTAGCTTATGGAAGAAAATTCCATGGACCCCGTTCTCCACCATGACCAGTTTGTTTTCCTGCAGAAAACCCTACTGTCAGTACCCAGTTAGAATTATATTCATCAATGTGTTGTTTCTTCTCTCCACATACACAGAGAAACAAAATTATTGAAATTCATATCTGTGGGCAAGACGTTGAAGTCCCCAAACCCAGGAATCTTTAAGATGGTGATTTTTGTTTGTCTTTGTAATATAAAAACTGAACAAGCGTGATAAATAAATGCACACTTACAGAGAGTCTCTATCTTTGATTCTTTCCTCACTCAATCCAAATTTACTCCATGCTCATTTAGTACCTTGCATCAGACCCCACATTTGCAAAGTACAAAAGTAACATTCAAACAGAAGAACATGTATTGTTGATATGGAATAATCTTTTTGGACACTGTGAAGATGTGTCTTTGCCAAGGCACCTTCTGACTGGTTTAATAAAAGAGCTGACTGGCCAACAGCTAGGCAGGAGGTGGGACAGCAAGACACGGAGGACACAGACAAGAAGAAGAGTGGAGTCTCAGGAGCCATGAAAGATGCAGAGAAAAGCAAGACAATTGTTTCACGTTGAAAGAAAATACAAACCATGTGGCAAAGGGTAGATTAGAAATATGGATTAATTTAAAATGTAAGAGTAGCTAGCAATAAGCCTGAGCTATTGGCTGAGCATTTATAATTGATATTAAGTCTCTTGTGGTTATTTGGGGTTGACTGCCGTGACACAGAAAAACTCCACCTACATATTGCGAAAATTGGGAAGGCTTTACCACACTGCTCAATAATACAGACCCCCAGAGCATGAAGAGAGGTTCATGACAACCTTTCCTCTGTAAGAAAAGTCCCGCTGGGTGTATTAGTGAAATAGGGCTGTGCAGCAAGCAAGAAGTGGTGGTTCAAGCTGCATTCAGAGCACTGTTGGAGGATGAGGCAGGAGGAAAGCCAATCCAAGAGCCTTCTAGGCTACTGAGAAAGTTCCGGTGTGCCTGGCCTTCATAACCCAGCTCTATCTCAAAAAATCAAAAGGCAGGGATTACAACTCAATGACAGAATACTTGATCAGCAGTTTTTAAATTTTTTCCCTTTTATTAAAATAGAATTTTTTGACTCATATAATATGTATTGATTAGACTTTGCCTTCTCTCTATTCCTCCCAGTCACCCCCTCCTCTCCCATCCCAACCCATCTCATGTTTGCCTCTGATTAGGAAACAAACAGCAGCCAGGCAGTGATGGCATACCCCTTTAATCCCAGCACTGGGGAGGCAGAGACAGGCAGATGTCTTGAGTTTGAGACCAGCCTGGTCTACAGAGCTAATTCCAGCACTACCAGGACTACACAGAGAAACCCTGTCTCAAGCCCCCCCAAAAAAGGGGGGGGGAGAAAGAAAGGAAAAGAAATAGGTTTCTAAGGGATAATTTTAATATATAATATGATATTATATGATGATAGAACAAAAACCAACACATCAGAATAAGACAAAACATACAGAAGGAAGTGAGCCAAGGAGAAGCACAAGAAACAGATATAAACACAGAGACCCCCTTGCTCACACACATGGGAATCCCATTAAAACAGTAAAGAGGAAACCATAATATATACTCAAAGGACATGTAAGGTAAAAAGAGAAAAAGAGTATATAAATACAATAAAATAAGGAGTTGGCAGTGGTGGTGCATACCTTTAATTCCAGCACTTGGGAGGCAGAAAAAGGTGGATCTCTGTGAGTTCGAGGCCAGCCTGGTCTACAGAGTGAGTTCTAAACAACCAGAGCTACACACAGAGAGATCCTGTCTTGAAAAACCAAAAACTAAAAATAAGATAAAATTTAAAAGAAAAAGGGAAGAGCCCTGACATGACACTGTGAGATAAGGAACTTTTAAAGATGCTGTTCAGTTTACTTTTTTTTTGACTGTCTACTGCTGGACATGCAGCCAACTCTCCCAATGAATATCTCTGGGAGGAAACTAAATTTTCATTTCCAAGTTGTAGTGGTATATTATTTATATTTTGATAAATAAATCTCAACCTTAAACCCGAAAAGCAAAGCCAATAGAGAAGTCTTACCTCTCTCTACCAAAGCTGGGTGACCACAAAACTAAGATGACTCAGCCTCTCTCTCCTTCAATTTTAGATTCCCTCCTGTGCTGGGATTAAAGGGGTGTGACTCTCTAGGACTGGGATTACAAGTATGAGCCACCACCACCTGGATTTGTTTCGGCATTGATCTTGTATAGCCCAGGGTGGCCTTGAACTCACGGAGGTCCATCTGACTGTGTCCCGAATCCTGGGATTAAAAGTGTGTGTCACCATTGCCTGAGCTCTAATTGCTTTAGTTTTGCCTCTGCTCTTCAGGCAAGATTTATCTATCAAAATGCAAATAATATACCACTACATCAAGTACTTATCAATCAGAGATTGCTCCTGGGTTAGGGATGGAGGCATGTCCTACTTCTTCTTTCATCTCTAGGAACCCCACTGTGTCTGGTTCAGACCCGCGCAGGCCCTGTGCATGTTGACACAGACTCTGAGGTCATATGTGCATTTTGACCTGCATTCTTAAGTGTGTCAACTCTAGGCAGAGTTTTTCTGTACTGACTGCCTGCTCCCAAATAACCAGCAGCTGTTTACCAAATAACCAACTCAGAGAGTCAATATTAATCATAAAAGTTAACCAAAAGCTCAGGGTTGCCACTAACTAGCTCTTACAACTTAACCCATTTCTATTCATCCGTGTGCTACCCTGAGGCATATGGCTTTTGCCTCTGTTCCATTTGGTGTGTCTAGTTCATTCTCTGTCTCCCTCACTCACTCCGCCCTTCCTCCTCCCATCATTCTCTGTTTGGCTTTCCCACCTAACTTCGTCCTATTCAGCTATTGGCCAGTCAGCTTGTTTATTAAACCAATCACAGCAACTTATATTCACACAGTGTACAGAAGGATTATTCCAGAACAGTTTATTCAGTTTCCAGCAAAAGGGGCAAAAATACATAATACATCTGGGTAGAAACGCTTTTTGCAAAGGTAAAAAGAGTGTCCTTTAGTGCCATTAAAATAGCTAACCTGACTGACAGATTGAAAATCCTGTTGAAAAGGTAATGATATACCTGTTATGTCATAGAAGGTGTTGTGGTTTCAATGCAGAATGTCCCCACAGGCTTGGGTGTCTGAGAAATGTTTGGTCCCAAGCTGGTGCTGTTTTGAGAGGTTGTGAGATCTTTTGGATATGGGTCCTGGATGGCAGTAGGGTGAAGTTTGAGAATTCTAGCCCAGCCAAGTTCTGTCTGCTTCTCGATCTATGGAGTATGAGGAATTTGTTTCATAAGTTCTTATATCCTTGGACCTAAACATTCCTAGCCATTATTCTTTCCCCACCACAAAGGGCTGTATCCCCTCACCCTGGGAACCACCAGTTGACATTCAGGTGACCACAATGGGCTGTATCCCCTCGACCTGGGAACCACCAGTTGATGGCCAGGTGACCATGATGGGCTGTATCCCCTCACCCTGGGAACCACCATTTGACAGCCAGGTGACCACAATGGGCTGTATCCCCTCACCCTGGGAACCACCAGTTGATGGCCAGGTGATCACAATGAACTGTATCCTCTCAACCTGGGAACCACCAGCTGATGGCCAGGTGACCACGATGGGCTGTATCCCCTCGACCTGGAAACCACCCACTGACGAACAGGTGACCACAATGAACTGTATCCTCTCAACCTGGGAACCACCAACTGATAATCAGGTGTTTAAACACATGAGCCTGTGGGGACATTTGAGATTCAAACCCTAATGGTTAGTTAGTCTGTTTTTCTGAGCCTGTGGCAAGGCAGCATGTCACAGGGGAAAGTCACTCACTTCAGGATCAGCCTTCCAAAGAGAGAAAGAAATGGACAGAGTCCCATAATCCCCTCAGTGACCTGTCTTGCTCCCATTGGTCAGCCCCTTTTAAGGTCCCACCCCCACCCCCAATTGTAGCGCAGGCTGAGGGCCAAGCCTCTAACATGTGGGCCCAGCTGTCAAGGCCTTAGTTCCTTTAGGGAGGAGAGGGAAATGTTAAGAGCTGGATGGTGTCCTCTCAGGGCTAGTGGGACCTGGAGTGTACTCACTGGCTTACTTTTTTTCTAAGCCTATGAGATAAGTTCTCTACTGAGCTTTGCACTGTGAGCTCTGTGCCACCTCACCACGAAACCTAAAAGAGCAGGGACGACTGATCAGTCTAAATGAATCAAGCCTGTCTAGGTTGATTGTGGCAAATACTTGCTGCAGTAAACAAAAGGCTGTCTTAACAAAACATGATGCCTGTGCTTATTTTATGCCACTAGGAGACTGGAGATATGAGGTGAGATTAATTTAGTAATTATTTAATTTAATAATTATTAATAATGATTTTGGGGGGATCATTTAAAAACAGTGGTTGTGATGTGGGCCTAGTGGCCCAGGCTTTTAGTTCTAGCTCTCGGGAGGCAGATGCAGGGGGAAATCTCTGTGTTTGAGGCCAGCCTGGTCTGCAGAGTGAGTTCCAGGACAGCCAGGGATACACAGAGAAACCTTGTCTGAAAAAAACAAAATGAAAACCAACAGCAAAGAGCAGTGGTTGTGCACTCAGATACGGTATGGGACGACAAGAAATGGAGGACAGAGCTGCGGTGGGGCAGTTGCACAGATCTGTCTCACGTGAACTTCTACTTCTTAAACGTTTGTTATTTCATTTTCAGGGACAGCCAAAATTATTTGGGCCAATACAATAAGTTCTAGAACAAAATGGAAGTCTCCTGAGAGATTTTAGCAATGGAGACTTTTCTGGAGATTAGGCCCAGCTTCCTGTGCATTTTTTTTTCTCTGGAATCCACTTGGGTAAAGAGACGGGACCAGCAATGCGTTTCCAGAGTCGTTATGCATCTTACTTTGAGATGAGATTAGGACTAGGAAACCATTCAAATTAGGTTACATGCAGATGAATGGTTTTTAAAGAACGAATGCTGTTATGAAACACATATGAGCTCTGCTGGATGCAGGTCTCAGATTCTTCGCATCACTGTTTGGAGTTGCGCGCGTGTGTGTGTGTGTGTGTGTGTGTGTGTGTGTGTGTGTGTGTTCCCTGTTCGCTTTAAGGTCAGAAGTTGGAGCCTTTTACCCCCCAGCACAGTAATGAAAGATGACCACATGGTGGCAGCAATGGTTAAAAATATAAGCACTGCTCTTCTATTAACACCATGCAAAAAGTAAGAAATTGGACAACACAC